ACAGGGATGGATGCAGAGTGACAGTTTAGACATTAGTATCAAACATTTGGAAAACAGGGCACCAGCATCCACATCAGGCAGTTCACAACCACCTGTAACCCAGCTCCAGGGGATCGACATCCTCTTCTGGCCTCCGAGGGCACGGTACACATGTGCGTGTGCGCACGCGCGTGCACACACACACACACACACACACACACACATGCATGCACGCACACACATAAAAGTAAAAAAAAATCAGAAAACAACTCACATAGGAGCCAAACTGATATAATCATCAAAAGACAGAATAAACTAAGCACTTTTTAATCTTTCAAAAAAACTACATTTTTTCATTTTTATTTGTTTGTTTGTTTGTTTGTTTTGAGATAGGATCTCTCTGAGTATCCCTGGCTGTCCTGAAACTCATTCTGTAGACCAGGCTGGCCTTGAACTCACAGAGATCCTCCTGACTCTGCCTCCCAAGAGCTGGGATTAAAGGCGTGCACCACCACCTCCCAGCAAACTACATTTTTTACGAAAAGAAAATTGAAGGAAATAAATGGCAAATCTGTAGTTAGTAGGAAGCCACCACCCACCGTCAGCACCATTTCACGGCAGGCAGTTCCTGGAAAATCACTGAGCTGTGATTCACTGAAAAGGAAATCACTATTTTTATGTAAAGAAATTGGCACAAAGCCGGGCGTTGGTGGCGCATGCCTTTAATCCCAGCACTGGGGAGGCAGAGGCAGGCGGATCTCTGTGAGTTCAAGGCCAGCCTGGTCTACAAAGTGAGTTCCAGGACAGCCTCCAAAAAGCCACAGAGAAACCCTGTCTCGAAAAACCAAAAAAAAAAAAAAAAAAAGAAATTGGCACAAGCCAGATGTGGTGGTGTGAGCATGTGACCCTGTGCTTACTTGGAGAAGGAGGCCTGCTGGAAGTCTGGGGGGGAGAGAGAGAGAGAGAGAGAGAGAGAGAGAGAGAGAGAGAGAGAGAGAGAGAGAGAGAGAGAGAGAGAGAGAGAGAGAGAGAGAGAGAGAGAGAGAGAGAGAGAGAGAGAGAGAGAGAGAGCAACGCTGTCTCAGAGAACACACAGATTTCCAAAACCACACAAATAGGGGACACAAGATGGTTTTGCGGGTACAATATTTGCCACACAAGCAGGAGGACCTCAGTGTGGATCCCCAGCGCTGATGTAAGAAGCCAGGCACCATCTCACATACCTGCAGTCTCAGCACTGAGAAGGCAGAGACCGGAGGGTGCCCAGAGCTTACGGTTCAAGAAGTCTAGCTGAGTCAGTGAACCCCAAGTTCATGGAGAGACGCGGTCAAAAAATAAGGCAGAGAGGGCTGGCTGGCCAGAGGGCTCGTAGAGTACTTACAGCCAAATCTGCCAACCTGAATTCAATCCCTGAGACCCACAGAATGGAAGAAGAGAACCACCTCCTGGAAGCTGTCCTTTATGCCTACAGCACGTGGGTGACACCACACACACACACACACACACACACACACACACACACACACACTGATAAATATAAAGAATTTGGAGGGGAGGCCTGGAGAGATGACTCAGTGGTTAAGAGAACTGACTACTGCTCTTCCAGAGGATCCAGGTTCAATTCCCAGCACCCACATAGCAGCTCACAACTATCTGTAACTCCAGTTCCAGGTGATCCAACACCTCATACAGACATACATATAGGCAGAACAAGGTGCATAAAATTTTCTCAAAATTTTTTTATTTGTGACTTTGTCTTTTTTTTTTTTTTTGGAGCTGAGGATTGAACCCAGGGTCTTGTGTTTGTTTGCTAGGCAAATGCTTAACCACTGAGCTAAATGCCCAACCCCAATATTTTTTTTATTTGTAAGGTAGAGAATGATAGAGGAAGACACCCAATGTGAACCTCCACCCTCCTCCATATACACCCATGCTTGCACAAAGACTTTACACACACACACACACACACACACACACACACACACAATCATAAATAAACTGCTTTAGTTTCTGTGGAGTGGCACTATACTTGCAGAGACATGAACAAATGTCTACTCTCTCCAGATAGGGAACTGATGGCAGTTCTAAATAAGAATGTCACTAAAGTCCTACTTGGTGAACCGATGAGTTTTGGGGGTTACTTACAGGGGAGTATGGGTGTGGAGTTACTTGAGAAGCATGGACAGTCAGGGAGATGCATCACATGATGAGTTTGTGAAGGTGAGGCCCCTGGAGCTCTCTGCATAGCTTCCAGGCAGCAACACAAGTCAGAGAGAGCTATTCTCATCAGCTCCCACTGCTCATATAATGTTGGTGTCCTAGTTAGCTTTTACTGTCAACTTGACACAATCTGGAGTCCTCTGAATAATTGCCTCCTTCAAGTAGGCCTGTGGCTATGTCTGTGAGAGATCACCTTGATCGATGTGAGAAGGTTGAGCCCACTGTAGGCTGCACCATGCTTGGGCAGGTAGTCCTGGGCTGTATAAGTAAGCTATCAGGGCACGAGCAAAGAGCTAGCAATCAGGCAGTGTTCCTCCATGATTCCTGTATTCAAGTTCCTGATAACGGCGTATGATCTGGAAGTGTAAACCAAGTAAACTCTTCCCCTCTAAATTGTGTTTGGTCAGAGCACTTTATTACAGCAGCAGAAAGAAAATTAGAACACTTGAGGAAGAAGGGACCTGTGTGTGTGTGTGTGTGTGTGTGTGTGTGTGTGTGTGTGTGCTGCTCAGTTTCAGGAACATCCTGAGACTTGTGAGTTGTTTACTCCCTGACTCTTAAGGATTACTTCTCATTTCAGTTTAGAGAAATGTTTACATAATAGTCTGGACAAGAGAAAGTTTACAATAATCAATAACCAGCATCTTCAACATCAAGAGATTTTTAATATAGAATTGCACAGAAATACACTTAGAAGCTGTCATGAAATTTCTCCTCCATTTTTTTTAAGGCCAAAGAATTTAAATGGAAATTTTCAGTATGTGTCTTATAAAAAAATGGAGAAAGGCCCTTCTGAAAGGCTCCCTGGTCCCAGTAAATTGACAGAAATTCTTAGAACTTTTCAGACAGGGGTATACATTATGTAAGGAGGTTTGTGAGGTGACATCTGCCTAGAATCCCCCAGAGAGGAGGAAGCACCCTGGAAGCATGTCTGAGTGCTGGGCATCTGCCTGGAGTCCCTGGTGAGGAACTGAGAATGAGGTTCCATTGGTGAGTACTTGCCTAGCGTGCATGAAGCCCTGGGTTTGACCCTCAGGACTGTATGAATCAGGTGTGGTGGTACCAGACTATATAATTCCAGCACTCAAGAGACGCTGAGGGTCATCCTTAGCTACATATCAAGTTCAAAACCAGCCTGAGCTTTATGAGACTCTAGCAAAAATAAAAAAGACAACCAAGACCAAAACCAAGCCCTGTGGATTTGTGGTGCAGAGTTTGTGGACACAACATACCATGGTGTTAAAATCCTGGAAACCCTGGGTAAGGGTGGGGATCTGCTCAAGGTACAATATTACCTCTGTATTTTTAAAAGTTGCTTAAAGATCCTCAAAAACGCTGGGCATTGGTGGCAGAGGCAGGCGCATCTCTGTGAGTTCAAGAACAGCCTGGTCTACAGAACGAGTTCCAGGACGGCCTCCAAAACAATACAGAGAAACCCTGCCTCGAAAAATAACAACAACAACAATAAAGATCCTCAAAAACAAACAGGAAATGGCATCAGCAACATCAAGGAGACCACAGACTAGCTGGAAAAATTAGAGTTTAGACAGAGAAAATACAGTGCTTTCTAAGCCAGGGGATGGGAGAAGAGATAAGACTGAGGAAGTAGTTGGGGCTGGTGAGACAGCTCAGCAGGTAAAGGCGCTTGCAACCAAGCCTGACGACCAGAGTTCAAGGCTTGGGACCAACGTGACACCCCCCCACCCCTGCCCCTTCCTGACACAGACAATAATTACACATAATACAAAATTTTTAAAGATGGATTAAGTCCAGCTCTCATTTGGGGGGAATTTATAGTTTATCTGGGCATTTTTGTTAAAGAGATTGTAAGAAAGGAAGGAGCCCTTGTCCCTGAGAGGGATGTGAGTGAGGGAGGGCTTCTTGGAGCAGGCACCCAAGGGCAAGCTCTTTGTGCTTGCTCTCTCTGTTTGGAATATTTTCCCAGATTTAAGCGTGGATCCCGTCTCCATTATTCAGATTTTGGTTCAGTCATTACCTTTTTCTCGGGATGCTAGCTAGTCTGGGTGACCTAGGCTGCAAATGCACATGTGTGTGTGTGTGCGTGTGTGTGCGTGTGTGTGTGTGTGTGCGTGTGTGTGTGTGTGTGTGTGTGTGTGTGTGTGTAAGCCTAAGGTCAAGGTTGGATATCTTCATCTAGTGCTCCCCACCTGGAACTCACTATGTAGATCAGGATAGCCCACAGAGATCCACCTGCCTCTGCCTTCCAGGTGCTGTCATTAAAGGTATCATCACCATGCCCACTCCATTCTGTTTCTTGAGAAAGGGTCTCTCGCTGGTGCTTGTTAACTGGGCTAGACAGGCTGGTCAGAGGACCCCCAGGACCCACCGGTTCCCTCAGTGCTGGGGTTACAGGCATGCCTACAGGTGCTCTTGTTTGCACTGCAGCGCCCTCTTTAGGTTCTTGGGAACATCTCACCCTTGACACATTCCATATTCCTTCAACTCTTTCTCTCTGTCTTCCCCTGCAAAGCGCTCATCCCTGGGGAACAGGAATTGGTTTCCGGTCACTGCCACACCCAGCACCCATATATCAGGGCTTTGCACAGCAATGTTTATTTGAATGATGTAAAGGGAGGCTTTTTCCTTGAGAGAAGCCTTCCCGCCAGCCTGGTTCTAGAGCCGCATCAGTCCCAAATAAACACACAGGAGGCTATATCAATTATGAAGCTGTTGGCCTTGCTTGTTTCTTACTGGCTAGCTCTGACTTAAGTAATTACCCCATAATTGCTAATCTAAGTATGTCTCTTACCGGAGAAGTTTCTGGGCTTCCTACCCCATGGCATTACATCTTGACTCTCTTGTGTTTCTCCTTCCCAGAGTCCTCTTGGACTCCTAGTCCCAACTATCTAAATTCCTATTGGCCCAACAGTGCTTTATTGACATATACATAGGACTTCCCCATCAGAATGAAGAACAAAGCTGTCACTGAGCTCCTGGCCCCAGGCGTGCCTGAAGCTGCACAATCGTGAACCGGCCTAGGCAGTTCAAATCCCTCTTGGCTACAGCACCACCTCAGATATCACCTCATGGATGGTGGATTCCTTGCTCACCACAGTCTCCTCATCCTGCGGATCCCTCAGGGCCCAGTGATAAGCAGCCTGGAGTGACTGACAGAGCTGTTTCCTTCCAAAATACAAAAACATTATAGGATTGAGAGCACTGTGAGCAAGGGCCAGGCCTGTAACCAGAGGCTCAGCAAACAAGACCCGGGAAAGGAACAAGGAGAATGGCTTAGCTACCGCAATTATGATCCTCAGGATGTGGTAAGGGGTCCAGCAGACGAAAAACCCCACCACGACAGCTGTGCCCAGTGGCCAGTGACGTCGGGTCAATTGCCGTTGGAGGATGCCGTGGCAAACGGCCATGAACACCAATGGCCCTAGGAAGCCGAGGAGAAATCGAACAGCAGTGATGGTGGCCTCTGCCGCCAATGATCCCCTGTAGTCTATGCCACATGCAAGCTTGGAAGAGGCGTACTCCTGATGTAGCCTACGGTAGACTGCAGAGGGCACCGTGAGCAGCAGGGCCAGCATCCAGGAAGAGACGTGGGCCACCCGCACTGAGAGTGTCCGGTGGTCAGCTGCCTTCCAGGAGGGCCTGAAAGCCAGTAGGAAGAGGTCAGCGCTGAGAGCGGTCAGGAGCAGCACGCTGGCGTACATAGACAGGACAGTGACTGAGGGCAGCAGCCAGCAGCCTACTGCCCCAAATGGCCAGTCACCCTTTCGGATGATGGGCACAGCCAGGAAGGGCAGAGACACACAGCAAAGCAAGTCAGCTACGGCCAGGTGCAGGAACCAAGAGGCCCCCAGCCTGTGGCGGGACTCTTTCCAGGTCACCCAAGCCACCATGGCGTTGCCTGGCACACCCACCAGGAAAATGGCTGTATACAGCAGAAGCAGACTTATGAAGTAGACATCACTGGAGATGTAACCGCCAGCTGGGTAGTCTACGGGGTCATCCAGTGGTAGTCCGCTGTAAAATTCATAATCATACTCATAATCGCCTTCATCGATGGTGGTATAATACTTCCTGTCCCAAGACACCTGCAAGGGACAGACAGGAGGACAAGTCAGTGGGAAAAATTCAAGAGCCTTGTTGTTCAGGGCAGAGATAGCCCAGCAAATTGGGGACAGGGCTGGCCCCCACAGCTCAGGGACAGGGCCAGCCCAGGTGCTCCCTACTAGAGGGACCAATACTGTGATGTTAGGGTGCCTGCACTACTCCAGGGTACCAACATTCTATGATGGTTATTGTCAGCTGGCAACTTGACAGATTCTGAAGCATCTGGGAGATGGGGTCTATCTTTGTTGTGCTAACTGATGTGAGAAGATCCATATTAATTGCGGGAGGGACCTGACTGGGATTGTGGTCAACAGGATGGCTCAGCAGTGAAGGAACTTGCCACTAAGGCTTATGGCCTGAGTTCAATCCCTGAGGCCCCCCACATGGTGAAAGAGAGCTGACTCCAAAAAGTTATCCTCTGACCTCCACACATGTGCCAAAGGGCACACGGGCACACACACACACAAAGATTTTTAAATGAAATAAAAATAAGTGGGAAAAGTGTTCTGGGCAATGACATACATTCACCACTAATGTTTCCATTTAGTTTTGTTTTGGTTTTCAAGACAGAGTTTCTCTGGGTAGTCCTGGACGTCCTGGAACTCGTTCTGTAGACCAGGCTGACTTCGAACTTGGAGAGATCTGCCTGCCTCTGTGTAGGAGGAAAACAATACCGCCATTAACCATGTGACTTACTAGAGGCGCATACAGATGAGGTAATAAAAGAGCAGTTTACCACACCGCTAACCACACCCACTTTAGGCATAACTAAAGACGTATACGGATGTAGGTGGTGAACTATGTCACTAGCCAGGCCCACTTTTGGGCATGGCCAGGGGCGTTACGAGGGAAGGTATAAAAGACTGAACAATGGAAGTCTTGGTCTCTTTTTCTGGCTTTCAGCTTCCAGTTTGGCAGCGGAAAACTACTCTGCTCATCTGGGTTACTTGTTTGGTATCTTGTGAGTAATTTCTACAATAAATACTTAGTTTTACTTTCAGTAAGTGTGCTGTTTATCGTTACAGCATCATTTGGTGTGAGAAGTTTCGGAATCTGGATCCAGGAGCCCAGAAAAACAGCTATTCCTTGGCCCAACCAGGCACACGTGGACTCTCCTTTCGCTAAGTTCCCCACCACTTCTCTCTGCAAGGCACAATTCCTGCCGCCGGGAACCAGTACCTTCTACCTGCCGGCAGCCTACTGATTTCGGCCTGAATAAAACTCCACTGGTAACAAACTTAACTGCTTTATACAATGTCAGCTAACATTACGATGCAGGATGTTAAGAATTTTCTTGTTTTTGTATGGATAGGATTTTAGAAAGGGTTGAGGACCTACCTGAAAGGTACTTCCTACCCACGATGGTGATTATTAGTTTCATAATCAATATAATTTTGCTAAAGAAATGGTTCAAAAATAGGACGAAACTTATACAGGTCATACGGTCATCGCAGGATAGTTATGAAATCCTAATACGAAGAATTCAGGAAATGCGAAATTCCTTGCAGGATAGTAAGGAAGGTTTGGTAGAAAGTATTCAGGATATTAAAAATGATAATGTAGGTCTGACAAACAGGTTTAAAGAGACGGAACACAAAATTGAATTACTTTCAGGAAAAATGTGTTCAACAAATAGAATAGAAAAAGTGGAACACAATGTTGAAACATTTAGCCAACAAAACTGTTCCATGTTTGATGATTTCACTAGCAAACTACAAAGACTGGAACATAAGATTGAAATGCTAACAGAAAAGATTTGTTCCATGTCTGAGAGCAATGACAAACTAGCTGATAGAATGTCATTTCTGGAAGGCAGTTTACATGCCATTGAGATACTTTCTAAGGATGAGAATATTAAATATTTGGAATTACGTGTAAATGATGAATGCAAAAAAATGAAAGATTCGCCGGGCGGTGGTCAGTGAGTTGGAGGTCAGCCTGGTCTACAGAGCGAGTTCCAGGACAGCCTCCAAAGCTACAGAGAAACCCTGTCTTGAAAGAAAGGAAGGGTGGGGGCAATAGAATGGTAGCATGCTTGTGAGCTCAGTGAATAAATACAGGAATAAATTCTTAAAAAATAAAAACAAAATCCACCTGGAGCAGTTGTTTCAATAGTATAAACACAGGAAGAACGGAATGTTGTGTTCCCCATGGTTTATTTACTCACAAACACGGCTCCTGGGTACTTTTTGTTCTTGGAAAGGGGTTTTCATGTAGCTCAGGCTAGTTTCACATGTGCTGGGTAGCCAAGGATGACTATGAGCTTCTGCTGCTTCCATCTGAGTGATTTCCAGAGGGCACCACCACACCCAGCCCTCGAACATTTTTGTGATTATTCTGAGTGTCCATCCAAGGACAGAGGCACAGTCCAAAATCTGTTTCCTCGAAGCTGACATCCCAATGGGAAAAACCAAGAAGTGAGGACACAAGAGATTTGCCGTATTTTCCAAAGCATAATAGTTGAAAGAGGAAGACGGCAAGACCAGCCTTGGCTGTATAGTTAGAGGCCAGTCTAGGCTTCATGAGACCCTGCCTCAAAAAAAATTGCTGTAGGGAGAAAGAAATCCCAGAGAAGACTGTGGCGGCATTGCACACAGATGGTAAGGGAAAGTAGCATTTGAGCAGAAACTAAAAGAATTAAGGGAGACGATGAGGACCTAGAATGAGGATAATGCATGACGGCTGTGTTCAAAGAACAGCAAGAAATAAAGGGAGTGAGAACAAGCCAGGCATGATGGCATGCACCTGTAATCTCAGCACTCAGAATGTGAGGCAGGAGGATTGTCATGAATTCCAAGCCAGCTTGGCTACTTAGTGATTATTAGGACAGTCAGGGTTTACATTAGCAAAATGCTGTCTCAGTGAAGCATGGTTAGTCCTGCCCTCTTGTAACTGCAGATCTTGGGAGGCTTAGGCAGGAGGATCAGGAGTTCAAAGCCACACCCTAGGCTACACACTACAGGAGACCCTGTGTCAAAGGGGGAGGTACTGGAGAGATGGCTCCATGATTAAGAGCACTGGCTGCTCTTATAGAGGACCCAGGTTCTGTGCCAGCACTCCCACGGGGGCTCAAAACTGAGCCATGTATCCCGCTCCTACCCTAACCCCCCCATTTTTAACTGTTGTTGTTGTTTGTTTGGAGGTTCTTAGATTTATTTATTTGATGTGTATCAACGTTTCCCTGCATGTGTGTATATGAACCACACACATACATGCCTGGAGTCCATGGAAGTCAAAAGAAGACACTGGATCCCCTGGACAGTTCCAGACAGTTGTGAGCCACCATGAGGGTGCTGGGAAGAGCAGCTAGTGCTCTTAACTACTGGTCCTGCAGGGGGCGCTGGGCAGCTCACAGTTGTCTGTAACTCTAGCTCCAGGGGATCGGACGCCCTTTCCTGGACATTATGGGTACATGCACTGAGGTGCACAGACACACGTGGTTTTAAAGTTTAAAAACGGCAACAAAAGGACCTGATCCAACAACAATAACAGTTCTAGCACATAAGAAGGTACGGTTCACAGAGTATTTTGTGTATAATCCAGGCATGGCCCTAAACATCTTTCAACATTGTATCTCCTAAGCATTCCATCAACACTCCAGTTTTGATACAGTCTTGGTAAACTGATTTCTACTGTTGACCTAGGCACAGAGTGGGTGAACAAGATACTTACAACCCTACTAAGCTGGGTGGTGGCCCACGCCTTTAATCACAGCACTGGGGAGGCAGAGGCAGGTGGATCTCTGTGAGTTCGAGGCCAGCCTGGTCTACAGAGCGAGTTCCAGGACAGGCTCCAAAGCTACACACACACACACACAAAATCCTGTCTTGAAAAAGAAAACAAACAACTGCAACAACAACAAAAATGAGTCAGCTAAAGTAGAAGACAGAACTGAATCATCAAGCCCTGAAGTATTACCACCCCCAGATCCGAAGCTAGATGGATGGCAGTCAAGCCTGGCTCCGTCCATGTCTTTTCCTGGGACCCACCTCACCAGTGCAGTGGGATCTCAGAGTTAATGCATGAGGAACACACGCATGACACAGAGTGCACTGGGGAGGACAGGACCTGGGTGGGAGGGGACACGTCAGAGTGACTGGAACCTGCAACTTTCTCTCATCTGACTATTATGGGCTGCCTGGCACTGCCCAGAGCCTCGGCCAACACTGTCAAAACAGGAAGGACACAGAGGAAGTTGGGACACTCCGAACTCTGCCAGGTAGTCAAGCAATTTTTCTGAGTATTTTTCCATCCTTAAAAGTAACATGCATCTGGTTTTTAAAACTTCACTTGCCACCCCAGCACTCAGAGGCTGAGGCAGGAGGAATGCCATGATTGTAAGGTCAACCTGCAGTATAAGGCCAGACCCTGTCTCAAACAAAAACAAAACAAGCTATACAAAAACATAGCAAAAGAACAACAAAAAAACTCAAAGCTTGGACAGCTGTGTGGCGTTCAGCGAGTAGCCTAACCTCTCTGTGCTTCGGTCTGTAAAAGGGAATAATCAAATAACCCACCTTAGAGAACACTGGGAATGTTCTATGTGCTCAATAGATCTGCTATGGAGAAAGTGACTGCTACAGTGCTGGTCATCAGCAAGCAATGGGTGTGTGCCTGACGGTGTGTGTGTTATAGCTGCTGTTATCAGGTATATACACAGCCTCTCTCCCCTTCTCTGACCCCCTCCTGTACAGCTCTTACTGATAGCAATCCAGGACAGTTTCTGTACCCAGACACTATCAGTCCGTGGTATTTTTGTCTGTGAAGAGAGATAGGGAAGATTCCTGGCAATCATTCTCTCTGTCTCTGTCTCTGTCTCTGTCTCTGTCTCTGTCTCTCTCTTTCTCTCTGTCTCTGTCTCTGTCTCTGTCTCTCTCTCTCTCTCTCTCTCTCTCTCTCTCTCTCATCCATTCCCACTTAGCTCAGTGCTCTACCACTGAGCCGTCTTCTGAGCCCTTCCAATTTCTTGAGACAGAGAGTCTCACTGAACCTCGGGTTTGCCAACTGGATCAACAGACAGGCCAGGAAGCACCAGAGACCTTCCTCTCTGGTACTGGAATTACAAATGGACACTGCTGCACCCAGTGGCATCGCTGTCATTTTGTTTTGGCTTGGTTTTTGTTTTGCTTTGTTTTTTGAGACAGGGTTTCTCTGTGTAGCCCTGGCTGTCCTGGAACTCGCTCTGTAGACCAGGTTGGTCTTGAACACAGAGATCCACCTGCCTCTACCTCTCAAGTGTTGGGATTAAAGGCATGAACCAACACTGCCTGGCTGAATTATTGTGTTTTACAATAAATCAGTTATATTTGTTTGATTCTATGCACTATACATAAAATAGTATTGCCACTGTTTTTACATATGTATTTATTCATGTTTATGTATGCCTGTGTGTGTGTGTGTGAACATGTTTGCACAAGCATGCTTGCATGGTACAGCTCACAGTGGAGGTCAAAGGGAGTCAGCACTTTCCTTCCACCAAGTGGGATCCCAGGATCAAATACCAGTTGTCAGGCTTGGCTGCAAATACATTTGCCTATCGAGTCATCTTGTCCCACAAATTGCTACTTTGTTGTTGTTTGTTGTTTGTTTGCTGGCCTGGAATTTTCTATGCAGACTGACTAGCGTTACAGTCACAGAGATCTGCCTACCTCTGCCTCCTAAATGCTAGGGTTAAAAGCCTGGTCTACCACACATGACTTGTTTCTAATTTTTACTCATGAATACCTGCGTGTGTCTGTTCAAGTGTGCGCCACATGTGTGCAGTTACCTGTGCGGACCAGGAAAGGAAGTCAGATTCCCTAGAGCTGGAGTAGCAGGTGGTTGTGAGTCACTTGATATGATTGATGGGTGCTGGGAACAGAACCCAGGTCCTCTGAAAGAACAGTACGTGCTCCTAACCACTGAGGCATCTCCTCAACCCCAAGCTAAGCATAGTGGCACACACCTTTAATCTCAGTGCTCTGGAGGCAGAGGCAGGCGGATCTCTGTGAGGTTGAGATCAGCCTGGTCTATGGAGCCAGTTCCAGGACAGCCAGGGCTACCCAGAGAAACCCTGTTTTGAAAAAAACCAAAATAATAATAGTAATATACAAGCTGATGAGAAGAGAGAGGTTGGTGGGTGTGGATCTGAGCAAATCTCAGATATATTGTCATAATGAAACATGCTATTTGTTTTTTGTTTTACGAGACAGGGTTTCTCTGTATTGTTTTGGAGGCTGTCGGTCCAGCCTGGCCTCGAACTCACAGAGATCCGCCTGCCTCTGCCTACCGAGTGCTGGAAACATGCTATTTTATATACAAAAAATGCAATAAAATGGGAAAGCCTGGCCATGGGATACATTCCTGAAATTACAGCACTTAGGAGACTGAGGCAGGAGGATTGCCATGAGTGTGAGGTTAGTCCGGTCTACATACCAAGTTCCAGGTCAGCTTACACCATACCATGAGACCCTGTCTCTGACAAACTAGAAAATAGGGCTGAGGACAAGACTCAGCTGGAAGAGTGTTTACCGATACTACATAAACAGGACATGGTGACACATCCCCGTAACCTCAGCACTTGAGTTTGAGGCCAACTGGTCTCAAGGAGAGAGAGAGAGAGAGAGAGAGAGAGAGAGAGAGAGAGAGAGAGAGAGAGAGAGAGAGAGAGAGAGAGAGAGCACTGATGTTCACTGTGCATGTATTATGTTTCAGAAATGACTGTCCTTACCATCCTAGACGTGGGGTTTATAATTACCCCGATTTCCCAGAACTTGGGCTCCACCCGTGTGGCCTCCAGTGTGTTCCTGGCATCTAGAAAAGTCCTTAGAGTTCATATTTGGTGAGTGAAAGAATAAATTAGGAAAGTGAAACCTGAAGGAGGCTAAGCTACGGCTGCTTCGGGTCTGAGAGTGATGGCTTGGCAGATACAGTGCTCAACCCGCAAGCCTGCCGACCTGAGTTCGATTCCTGGCACATGCAGGGATCTGAGTTCTGTAGGTTGTCCTCTGGCTTCTCAATGCAGGTTGTGGTATGCATGCCCGTTTGCACATGCAATAAATAAATAAATAAATGCAATTTAGAAAGAAAGAAAGGTACACTTTTGTGCTGCTACACACACAAACTTTTTTTTTTTCTGAGACGGGGTTGCTCTGTGTAGCTTTGGAGGCTGTCATGGAACTCACTCTGTAGATCAGACTGGCGTCGAACTGGCAGATCCTCCTGCCTCTGCCCCCGCCCCGACTGCTGGGATGAATCACCAGTGTGTGACACCACCACCCGGCTGCACACGAACAAATTGTTAAGAAAAAAAATAATACAAAATGTGCCTCTGTGTTAGAAATAAGAATCGGACTGGCAATATGCTTATGCTGGGAAACGGACTCTTACGGAATGTGCTCAGTTTACAAGAAACCCCAGAGGAGCCCCGTGACAACCCTCACACACCTCTGTGCGCAAGAGTAAATTCACCCTTGGCCTAAAGTGACCCTTGCTGTCCAATGATGTAGTGACATGGAATGTGAGAGCTGCCCACCAGACACAATGGCTTTTGGAGGACTGGCCCCAACCTAGGGATCCCTGAGGGACAGCGTGTCCTGCACCGCAGGGTGTAACAATACCTATCTGCTTCATCTCGAACTTTCTACTGGGCTGATCTAGATAGTACCACGGATCTGGGGCTCTGACGTGTTTTCCCCGAGCCGTGATAATAATGTCTATCTGGAGGGCTGAGGGTGTGGCAGAGTGCATTTCGGCATGCATGAAGTCCTGCATTCTCTCCCAGCCACCGCAGAAACTGTGTATGACAGCCCGTGCCTGCAGTCCCAGCACTCTGGAGGCAGGGAGGCAGGACAATTTGCCACACAGTGAGTTTGAGAGCAGCCTGGGCGACATGAGATCTTACTTCAGAAAAAAAACATAAAATACCAATCTGGAATTCTTACTCCCAAGATTTCAAAGTGAGTACTTCTAGGAAGTCAAAGTCATAATAAAACTCCTCTCACCCTCCGTCATGTCTTCCTCCTTACCTTCTTCTCTTCCAACTCGTCTCAAATTGGCCAAATGCAGTTTTACAAGCGCAGTGTCAGGCCTTGGCAGCTGCTAGGGAGCCCAGGGTCTGTCTCCACCAGGGACAGTTGTTAGTGAGTCTCAGCGATCCGGACCCGACCTGTTCCCCCAGATCCTATGGGATTCTCTGAGGGCTCCGGTGAAATCTTCTTAACCGGGAAAAGTGGGTGTGGCCTCCTCCCTGCCTCAGGGGAATATTTGTCTCTTCTTCCTCCCGTGAGTCACAAATTAACCCGTGGACAGAAAAGGTTGGAAAAGTCTAAAGTGTGGCGAGCTGGACAGTGTCTCCACCCTTAATCTCACCGTCACCAACTTCCTGGAAGCCAGATCTGTGTGGACACGGGTCTAGAGGGTTGTCTTTGGAACCAACTCCCACCCATTGCCAGCCCTGAAGGGCTCCTAAGGCTCTGCAGTAAATACTAGTTAGCTCCCAGCTGACCCAAACCTGACCTCCTGCTCTGGTCTCTGCCTCTCCTGTCTGTTAGCCACAGACTCTCAAAGATTTTTTTTCCTTCCTCAAATGTTCTGAAGAAGACAGCCCAGAGTTAAAACCCCACTCAGGCCAGGCAGTGGTGGCCAACGCCTTAAATCCCAGTGCTCTGTGTTTGAGGCCAGCCTGGTCTACAGAGTGAGTTCTAAAACTGAACAGCCGGGGCTGTTGTTACACAAAGAAACCCTGTCTCAAAATAAATAAATAAATAAATAGCATAGCATAGCATAGCATAGCATAACATAACATAACATAAAAACCCCACTCAGAAAGATCAAGAAGCCATTCCCAGGCCCTGAGACTTCCACGGAACCTAAAATTGCCAAGTCCTGCCCCTCTCTGGACCTCCGTTTTTTTCCACCTGTAAAATGGAAAAGACATAGCAGGCATGGGAAAGCAAGCTTGTCATCCCAACGCTCTGGAGGCAGAGGCAAGGAACATCTCAAGCCGGAGACCCGTCTGGTCTACACAGCAAGAAGACACTGTCGCAAAATGCTACCGACAGGGCTGGAGAGATGAGTAGGTGGGAAGTGCTTGTCACACACATGTGAACCCTAAGTTTGAATTGCTGGAACCCACATGAAAGTCGGGTGCAGTAAGACGTGTATGTCATTCCAGCATTTGCAGAGTCAGGGGAGATGGGAGACCCCGTGGAAACACCTGGGCCAGCTAGTCTGGTCTCTGCCACTGCAAGCAGAAGGAGACAGTCTCAACCAAAGCAGAAGTTGAAGGTTTTCTGACCCTTCAGATCTAAACTGTGACTCTCAGGCCTGTGTGCATGCAGACTTAAAACGAAAAAGAAAAAAAATAGTAACAACAGAAAAAGAAGTTGACCATAGTTGACTGTTCTTGGTTTTGTCTTGTTCTGTTTGAGACAGGGTCACCGGTAGCCTGGAGAGACTCCAGACTCATAGTGATTTGCCTGCCTCGGTTTCCCAAGTGCTGGGGTTAAAGGTGTCCCCAACTCTATAGTACACTATCTCCAAATACACAACCTCACACATGGGGTGCAGGCTTAGGATGCTAAGCAAGAAGACATGACCTCACCAGGCAGTGGTGGCACGAGGAGTCTTTAGTCCCAGCACTTGGGAGACAGAGGCAGACAGATCTCTGGGAGTTCAAGGACAGCCTTGCTTACATTGTGAGTCCCAGGATATCCGTAGCTACACAGAGAAACCCTGTCTTGGAAACACAAAGAAACAAACAAAAAAGAAGACATGACTTCAACCCTGACCTTGAATCTCCTCACTCAGCAGTTTTTGTTGGTCCTGTTTCTCTCCGAGCCATGCTTAAGGCCTTGAGGGGATGTGGTCATGAATTCTTCTGTTGGTATTTAGAGTGTTAAGTCACGTTGCTAGAGGAAGCTGCTCTGGGTCAAGAATCTGCAGACTCTGTGATCTGATGCAGGCCTCTCTCATCCTGACAGGCCTCTGTGTCCTCTATGCCTCAAGTAGAGTTTCATGGGAACTTAACTGGTTAACAAATGTGCTAAGATGGTGATAGTCCCAGAGCGTGGCTCAGTGTTAAGGTATTTGCCTAGAATTCCCCAGTGACAGACTGGGGGTGTGGCTCAGTGGTAGAACCCCTGCCTAGAATTCCCCAGTGAGGGGCTGGGGTGTAACTCAGTGGTAGAACCCTGCCTAGAATCCCCAGTGAGGGACTAGGGGTGTGGCTCAGTGGTAGAACCCCTGCCTAGAATCCCCAGTGAGGGACTGGGGGTGTGGCTCAGTGGTAGAGCCCCTGCCTAGAATCCCCAGTGAGGGACTAGGGGTGTGGCTCAGGGATAGAACACTTGCCTAGAATCCCCCAGTGTATTGGTTAATTTCCTGGGCTGTAATAAAATACCATGACCAAAAGCAATTGATGGAAGAAAGAGTTTAGTTTGACTGATGGTTCTAGAGGATTAGTCAATAAAATCAAGAGGCCCTAGCAGCAGGCTTTGGAGCAGTAAGCTGGTTGATGACATTTTCACCCACACACGGAACACAGAGAAAGAATTCAGGAAGTGAGGTAAGAATATAAATCCCCCTCCCAGAGGCTACCCCCAGAGACCTATTTCCTCCAGCAAGGATCTGTAACCCCTTCAAACAGCGCCACCAACTGGTCAAATGGTAGAGTGTGGGGACACCAGACCTTGAGCAGAAACCCACTTCCCCTTCGGCCTGGGAGCAGGCATCTGTGTAATGTTTACTGAAAACAATTCAGTGCTTTAAAGCTCTTGATAGGGCTCAGATAAGGGCTCGCTCACTGAGATACCATGACTTTCACACCCCCTATGGCTAGATGCCTCTTCCTGTCCCCGCCCCCTGCGGTGTCTCCGGGATTCTGGGGCCGGAGATTAAACCACCAGCCAGGAGGGTGAGAAGTGGAAAGAATGGTATGTAAATGGATGGCAAAAGTCCTTAAAAAGGGAAGCTCTTTTTTCTTGGAGGGACTTCTCCTGAGACTTCTCTCTCCTAAGTGGACTTGGAATCTCCTCCTAAGCTGACTTGGGAAGCATAAAGTTTTCTTAAAGCAACCGACCAGTCTCTGTGTCATCTATCCCGACCACCTCGCTACATTCTCGGATGCAGGCCGCACAGCAGGTGCAACAGTAGAGCTTACCTGGAACTTTCCTCAGTAACAGACAGTGAGGAGGTTAAGATTCAGCGGTAGACACCAAGTATTGGAGGACCGAGAGGCCAGCCTGGTCTACAGAACAAGTTCCAGGACAGTCTCCAAAGCTACACAGAGAAACCCTGTCTCAAAAAAAGAAAATATTGAGGACTGTGGTGGAAATACATATGAAACCACCAAGTGTTTCCAGTTATACCCTTAAAATTCAGGACCTAAGCATATTATGGAGGACCTCTACCACTGAGCCACACCCCCAGCCCCCCACTGGGGGATTCTAGGCAGGGGCTCTACCACTGAGCCACACCCCCAGACCCTCACTGGGGGATTCTAGGCAGGGGCTCTACCACTGAGCCACACTCCAGCCCCCCACTGGGGGATTCTAGGCAGGGGCTCTACCACTGAGCCACACCCCCAGACCCTCACTGGGGGATTCTAGGCAGGGGCTCTACCACTGAGTCACACCCTCAGACTCAAGAATATTTTTACGCTGAGGGCTGGAGAGATGGCTCAGTGGTTAAGATCACTCACTGGCTACTCTTCCAGAGGACCTGGGTGCAATTCCTGGCACCCACATGGCAGCTCCCAACTGTCTGTGACTCTAGTTTCAGGAGATCTGATACCCTCACACAGACACAGATGCAAGCAAAACGCTAACGCACATGGGGTAAGAAGAAATTATTTTTTAAAAGGATATTTTTATGCAGATCACACATCAAAAGTGTTATCTTGCATAGGTTAATAAAATATATGGACAGAAGCTGGGGCTGTAGAACCATCCTTGCAGGCTCCTCCTTTTCTTCCACTCTGGTTTTTGAGACAGGGGCTCTCAATGGGACCGGCCTAGGCCAGCTGCCAGCCCTAGAGATGCACCTCCCCCGTGCTGAGGTTACAAGAGCACACGCCACAGAGCCTACCTTTGTACACGGGTTCTGGGGCTGGAGCGCATGCCCTCATGCTTGAATGGCAAGCACTTGGCTCACTGAGCCGTCTCCCAGGCCCCCTCGTATTTCATCTCGGAAGACTCTAATGATAAGTGTAATACGCTCCCAGGGTGCAAGAAGTCTGAGGCTCCCAGGGCTCACCGGGACATGGGAAGGTTCTGGCCCCAGACTTCGCAGCCCGACATCTGAAGACCAGATGGGTACGCAATGCCTGTCGAGGGCGGGGGTTGGGGGAGGGGAGGGAACGCACTAGAGTCCACCGAGCTCTCAGCCCACTTCCTTTCCTGGCCACTTCCCCTTCCAAACTCTGTTGACAGAGCAGATTCCACAGGCCACACATTTGGCAATCCTCTGGCCCCGTGGCCAACTTCTGTTTGGGGCAGGGCTGGTTTACCCCAGCTGCTGGGGTCACCACCTAGATCCCTTCTGTGATAATCACCTGTCGCACGTCCAGATCTTTTGGGGTTTTTTAGATTAATTTATTTTCACCCTATAGTACATGAGTATTTTGCCTGTGTGTGTATCTGTGACCACATGCACGACTAGGGGACCTGAAAAGGACATCAAATCCCCTGGAACTAGAGTTACAGACAGTTGAGAGCCACCACGTGGATGCTGGGAACCAAACTTGGGTCCCCTGGAAGAGCAGCCAGTGCTCTTAAACCACTGAGATGTCTCTCCAGTCCCTCTTTTTGTTTTATACTGCTTTTGAAGCAGGGTCTCTCTGTGTAGCCCAAACTCACAGAGATCCACCTGTCTCTGCCTTCTAAGTGCTAGGATTAAAGTCGTGCGTCCAGCCTCTACCCCCTGAGCATGGAGGTTACTGGTGTGTACCATCATGCAGGGTTTTGTATGTCTGTGTGCACATGCGTGTGTGTGCATGTGTGAATGTGTGTGTTTGTTTTGCTGTTTTGTTTTGAGACCAAGTCTTGCCGTGTATCCCTAGCTGGCCTGGAACTCATTATAAAGACTAGGAGGGCCTCCTCTGCCTCTGTGTCTGGAGCGCTGGAATTAAAGGCACATACCACCATCCGGGGTTTTATCCCATGCTGGCAACTGAACCCCAGGCTTGATGCATTCGAGGTAAGCACTCTACCTAGTGAAATACATCCTATCCTGGGCCCGGCTCTCTCTCTCTCATTTATTTATTTATTTATTTATTTTGGTTTTTTGAGACAGGGTTTCTCTGTATTGTTTTGGAGGCTATCCTGGAACTCGCTCTGTAGACCAGGTTGGTCTCGAACTCACAGAGACCCGCCTGCCTCTGCATCCCGAGTGCTGGGATTAAAGGCATGTGCCACCAACGCCCGGCTCAGACCAGGCTCTTAAAACAGCACCTCATTCTGGATGGAGCTGGGCAGAAGGTGACCCGCTACCTACTACTTACTCTCTGAACCAAGAAGGGGTGCTCGTGGGAAGCAGACCGGGGAGAGGGGAGGCATGGACACAAGAGGGAGAAGCCAGAGGATGGAACTGCCCGGTGGGTAGTAGGAAGGAGGTTGCTCTCCACTGGGTGGGCTTAACGGGCGTGGGTGAGCAGGTGGCCCGTGTGGTTTTTCCTGGAATGGAGAAGCAAGGGGAGGAAGAGGTTTGTAGAGGGTGTCTGGGGCATGGGTGAGGAGGTCAGGAGTGAGACAGTCACAACAGCGAGACCACTTGGAGTGGGGTGGGAACGACACCTATAATCCCACCGTGTGGGAGGTGGAGGCAGAAGGATCAGGAGTTCAAAACCAGACTCAGTTATATATCCAGCCTAAGGCTAACCTAGATGAGATCCTGTCTCAAAACAAAATTTCAACTCCACAGACGCCATCCAGAAATTACAATGAAGTCAGGTGTGGTGGCGCACGCCTTTAATCCCAGCACTCAGGAGGCAGAGGCAGGTGGATCTCTGTGAGTTCCTGGCCAGCCTGGTCTACAAAGCAAGTTCCAGGACAGACAGAGCTACGAAGAGAAACCCTGTCTCAAAAAATAAAGAAAGAAGAAAAAAAAAGGTTCTGATGAAGTTGGTGTCACCAAATAGAAAGTGTCACTAACACAACATGGGCAGTAGGGAGGGTCTAACAGAGACAAACTCTAGGATTTTACTTATATTTTTTATTGGCTTGGACTTTGTGAGACTGTGTAAGTCTCCCTGGGTAACCCAGGCTGGCTTCGAATGCTCTCAGTTCTGGTTTCTGAGGCTTCAAGGTGCTGGGGTACAGGCTTGCAACCCCACACCCAGTTTTTCCCTTACTGAATCTTTTTTTTTCCCTTTTTTTTTAGTGTGCTGACCAGAAAATTCAAAACCATTCACCCAACTGCCTCTGGGGTTGGTCTGTACGTATTTTCTCTAAGGCAAGATCACACATCATAAAAGAATGCACTTACAGCCAACCATATAACTCAGCAGCGAAAGGTGATTGCAGACAAGCCTGATGACCTGGGTTCAATTCCCGGGACCCTCAAGGTTTAAGTGAGAGAAGCAATTCCAACAAGTTGTCCTCTGACCTCCACGCATACCCCGTGGCATGTTCCCAGCACCATCCGTCCCCATAAAGTAAATAAATAAATGCTTAAAAAACTAAATAACATGTTTTGGTACCTTTTCATTTTTAAATCTTTATTGTGTAAGCCACAGGCAGCTGTTTTTACAAAGCCGGAATCACACCGAACACTGGTCGTGAACAGACATCGTTGTAGGCATAAAGGATGGGTTGGACACAGTGGTATAAGCCTATAATCACAACATTAGAGGAACGGATGCAGGAGGATCAGGTCAAAGCAGATGAGGCTACTGGGACCTTGTGTCAAAAAAAAACTGTGGTGGTGGTGCACATCTTTAGTCCCAGCACTCGGGAGGCAAAGGCAGGTGGATCTCTGTGAATTCAGGGTCAGCCTTGTCTACAGAGCAAGCTCCAGGACTGCTAGTACTGTTACACAGAGAAACCCTGTCTTGAAAGAAACAAAACAAACAAACATACAAAAAAACTGATGGGGGTTGTCCTATATATATGTTTCTCTTATTGGTTAATGAATGAAACACTATTTGGCCAATGAGGCAGGAAGATAGGTGAGACTAGGAGACACGGAGAATTCTGGGAAACATAGGCAGCCAGAGTCGTCATGTAGAGCCCGGGAAGACAGGACGTGCTGGGCATTTCTCCGGTAAGCCAAGACCCACATGGAAATACATAGGTTTATGGAAATGGGTTAATAATTAAGACAGAGCTAGCCAGTAAGAAGCCCGAGCCACCAGCCAACAGTTTTATAACTAACATAGCATCCGTGTGTTCATTTGGGGCTGAAGACCAGCAGGACCCGCCGGGACAAAGACCCTCTTGTTACAAATGACAGTGACGAATAACATGAAATTCTCTTGTTCTCTGCTTACGCTGTCCCCGGAAGTCACCATTATTACACGAGTATCTGCCCGGCCACTGCAGAGTGGACAGCACAGCAAAGGTCTCCCTTAGAAACGAAAGCCAAGTAACACCTTAATGTGATGGTTTTCTTCAAAGGAATTCGTGCCTGTAATCCCAGCATCTGGGAGGATCCTGAGTTCAAGGCTAGCCAGGGCGACTTAGAAAGAGTCTCATGAATTTAAACATGCAGAGGGGAGGGAGGAAGGGAGGGAGCAGGAGAGGGAGGAGGAAAGGAAAACAAGAACGGAGGCAGAGGAAGGAGAGAAGGAGGAAGAGGGTGGCGTCTCCTCTACACCGCTTGACTCTTCTGGGTCAAGGTGTCCACCGTGGAGCGAGTGAAAGACTTGCTGTCCCTGACCACCGAGTCCTCTGAGAGGGCGTTTCGGATGATGCTGGGGAGTGACCTGAGAAGCCGCCCTTGGAAGCCCCGGCCAGCCACGACATAGATGATAGGGTTGACACAGCAGTTGATGTAGGCCAGGGACACACAGAAGGCGTTCAGCCTCTGCACCTTCACGAAGGTGGGCGAGGACTGGGGAAGCCAGGCAATCATCATCCCTGTCACCTGGTAAGGCAGCCAGAAGACGAAGAAACAGGCCACCACGGCCACCACCACCTTGAGCGTCTTGGTGGAGCGTGTGGCCCTGCGACTCCAGGTTCGTACCAGGAGGAAGGTGTAGCAGATACTGAGAGTGAGCAGAGGCCACACAAAGCCCAGTAGCAGGCGCATCATGGCCACCGTCCTCTCCTTGTGGATGCCACCCTTCCCGTAGTCAATGCCACACATCAACTTATCGGAGAAGGGGTCTTGGTACACCTGACGGAATATGAAGGATGGGATGGTGAGGAGTAGCGCTAAGACCCAGGCCACTCCACAGGCCATCCACGCCAGGCCGGGCCCCCGGACCCTCTGACACCAGATGGGGTTGAATACCAGCAGGAAGCGGTCAGCGCTAATGGTGGCCAGCAGCAGGATACTGGCATACATGTTAAGCAGAATGAGTGAGGGCAGGACCGTACAGGCCTGGTGGCTGAAAGGCCAATGGTCGTGTTTTATGATGGCCATGAATAGGACAGGCAGTGCCAAGCAGGAGAGGAGGTCGGCCACCGCCAGATTCAGGAACCAGATGGCATTGATGGTACGTCTGGCCTCGGATGCTGTCACCCACACCACCAGGATGTTCCCAGGGATTCCCACCAGGAACACAGCCGAGAAGATGAGCAGGGCTGCAATATCTTCATGATGAAACCGCTCAACGATGGGACCATCCACAGGCATGTCAGGGTTATAGGTCCCACTGGGGTAATCATAGTTGCTGTAGTCATCGGAGATGTTGCTGGTGGAATCCTAAGCAGAACCAAAGGGGTAGACGGTGTGTGAGATGGCAGACACATCCCCAGGGAGGTGCAGCATTGCCCTATTGCTCTGAGTCAGCTCCACCACGGGGATACTGGAGGTCTGAGTAATCAGCCCAGTTTAAAGTTTTTATTCTGCGACGGGGTCTCTGCAGGTTACCCAAGCTGATCTCGAACTCGTTCTGTACCCTAGGCCGAACTGAAATCATACCAGTCCCCCTGCCTCGGCTGCCCCAGTGATGAGAGGATAGGCGAGGCCCGCCATACTTGATCTTCAGGGCAATATTGGTGGGGCAGAGGAGTGGAGTTGAGATGGGGTCTCGCTCTGTAGACCAGGCTAGCCTCTCATTCACAGAGATCAGCCTGCCTCTGCCTCCCGAGAGACGGAATCAAAGTCACGCGCTGCTATGCCTCACCAATGGGATGTTTTTTTTAATATATCTGCCCAATGGGATGCTTTTTTAATTTATCATTGTCTATATATGTGTCCATGTGCCGTTCCATGTGTGTCCATGTACGTGGAAGTCGGATGACAACTCTTTGGAGTGCGTTCTCTCCCTCAATCTTTATGTGGGTTCTGGGATAGAACTCAGCTCTCCAGGCTTTGGGGGTAAGCATTTTACCTGCTAAGCCCATCTCACTACTGATGAGTAGTGTGTGTGTGTGTGTGTGTGTGTGTATTAGTGCAGGTGCCCCAGGAATCTAGAAGAGGTCATTGGACCCCCTGGAACTATAGGTGGTTGTGAACTACCCTGCATAAGAGCTAGGAACTCAACTCCCAGACCTCTGGCAACTCCTCTTGACTGTTGGGCCGTCTCTCCAGATCCCAGGGAAATATTTTTTTTTTTCTTTTTGGGTTTTTTCGAGACTGGGTTTCTCTGTGTGGCTTTGGAGGCTGTCCTGGAACTAGCTCTTGTAAACCAGGCTGGCCTCGAACTCACAGAGATCCACCTGCCTCTGCCTCCCGAGTGCTGGGATTAAAGGTGTGCGCCACCACCGCCTGGCCCCAGTGGAATATTTTAAAGAATAAAAATGTGTATGAGGGCCGGGCGTTGGTGGCGCACGCCTTTAATCCCAGCACTCGGGAGGCAGAGGCAGGCGGATCACTGTGAGTTCGAGACCAGCCTGGTCTACCGAGCGAGTTCCAGGACAGCCTCCAAAGCCACAGGGAAACCCTGTCTCAAAAAACCAAAAAAAAAAAAAATGTGTATGAGGACTGTCAAGCGCTCAACTCAGCTTGAGCTATGTGGCCAGACCCTATCCCCCCACCACACACACACACACACACACACAAATGATTTTGTTGTTGTTTAGTTTTTTGACAGAGTCCGATATACCCCAGGCTGTTCTTAAAACTCCCCATGTGGCTGAAGATGACCTTAAACTATGGATCCTCCTGCCTCTACCTCCCATGTGCTGGGATTACAGGTGTGAGCCCTGAATTTGAACCAATATCCAAAGCCGAAAAAGAGATAGGACGATGTCATCCATTTCAAAACACCTCATTGTTGGAAGGGAAGCTTCATTCTGTGGTTGGCATGCCCAACCGGGTGGGTTCCCACAGGGTGACAGTGCTCACACCGAGTGACAGTGTGGCCGTGATGTGTAAGTATATTGGGCAATGTGGGCCTTGAAGGACAGCGGTGGATGTCTTGTGGCTTTGTGGCTTTCCTTTAAAACAGCAAAACAGCAGTTCTCAACACGTCGATGGCTTCTGGGGTCGAACAGCCCTTTTTTTCCGCGGGCGTTGCCTAAGACCATCGGGAGATATTTACATTGCCATGCATAGCAGTACCGAAATTACAGCTATGAAGTAGCAATGAAAATAATGTTATGGTTCGGGCCGCCACCACATGAGGAACTGTATTGGAGTGTTGCAGCATTAGGAAGGTTGAGAGCCGCTGCTTTAAAAGATCTTCTCTTAAACCAGCCTGGATGGTTTGTGTGGCATTCAGCAGCTGGATCCAGGATGGAGGCAACCAATGCTAGCCTGTATTGCGTGGCATCCGTTCTCAAAGAAAAGAAAAGCAGCTGGGGACCAGTTGAGTCTGGGAATGCGGGTAGAGTACTTGCCTGGTATTCTTGAAGCCCTGGGCTCCAAACCCAGCACAATATAAAACTAGAAATGGTGGCTCACAGCCCCAGAATTTGAGAGACGGAGGCAAGAGGATCAGAAGTTCGACGTCACCCTCAGCTCATAGTGAGCCCCGTGCCAGCCTGGGCTACATGAGACTGCCTCAAGAAAAAGATTTGATTAAATTTCCTCTTTGGTTAAAATGGTAGACAGATGCCAGGCATGGTGACACATGCTTTTGTTTCTTTCTTTCTTTCTTTTTTTTCTGAGGCTGGCTTCCTCTATGTTGCCCTGGCTGTCCTGGAACTCACTCTGTAGACCAGGCTGGCCTCGAACTCACAGAGATCCGCCTGCCTCTGCCTCCCCAGTGATGGGTTTAAAGGAGTGCACCCCCACTCTCCAGCATGACACATGCTTTTAATCCCAGCACTCAAGGAGGCAGAGCCAGGTGGATCTCTATGAGTTTGAGGTCAGCCTGTTTGACATAGTAAGTTCCAGTACCGCCAGAGCCAGACAAGAAAGAAAGGAAGGAAGGAAGGAAGGAAGGAAGAAAGAGAGAGAGACACACAAACAAAGTGCAGTATTTTAGTTAGTATAGGAGGGGTGCAGGCAATGACTCTTTCACCAGCAAAGGGTGAGCTGTCTTTTGGATACTGGCTTTGGAGTCATCTCCTAGAGTCCAGACCCCACCTGCCCTACATGAAGCACACATGAGCCTCTGCAAATTCCTCCTGCTCTGAGCCTCGCTCCCTTCCTTCATTATCTCCCTGGCAGCCCAGCAATCCACCCGTTTTCCAAACCCTAAAGCTTTGGAATTCAAGAGTTGGAAGCAGGTGCGTGTTTGGGGCCAGCAGAAGGCAAAATCAGAATTAAGAATGAAGGTGCTGGAGACGTGACTCGGCCATTAAGAGTCCTGGCTGCTCTTGTAAAGGACCAGAGCTGTTCAGTTCCGTGCCCTGAAGCGGCAGCTCGCAACTGTGCAGGACTCCAGCCCCGGGATCTGACCTCTTCTGACCTTTGCAGGCTCCTGCGGCCACACGGTACGCATACATACACACGTACCCGTGAAGCTGATAAATACCCTTTTTTAAAAACAGAAAGAAGGGGCTGGAGAGATGGCTCAGAGGTTTAGAGCACTGACTGCTCTTCCAGGGGTCCTGAGTTCAATTCCCAGCAACCACATGGTGGCTCACAGCCATCTACAATTCAATCTGGTGCCTCTTCTGGCATGTAGGCAGAACACTGTATATGTCATAAATAAATAAATCTTTAAAAAAATAAATAAGAATTGGATCCCGGTGGTGGGGCACACCTTTAATCCCAGCACTCAGGAAGGAGAGGCAGGCAGATTTCTATGAGTTCAAGGTCTACAGAGCAAGTTCCAGTACAGCCAGAACTAGACAAAACAAAAACAAAAACAAAAAAGCCCACCTTTGGTCTTGAAAAGCAAAAACAAAATCAGGAATTAGGAGGAAGCTTTGAACCAGGTATGGTGATATGTGCCTGTATAACCCCAGTCCTGGGGAGGCTGAGGCAAAAAAAAAAAAAAAAAAAAAAAAAGAGGTCTTCTAGACCAGCCTGGGCTATACATTAAGTTGAAGGCCAGCCTGAGCTAAATAGCTACACTCCATCTCAGTAATAATAAATAATAACAACAACACAAGAAAATAAGTATAAAACTTCTTGTAGTAGCCCAGTGGCGATGGCATATGCCTTAAATTCCAGCACTCCAGAGAAAGAGGCAGGCAGAACTCTGAGTTCAAGGCCAGCCTGGTCCACAGAGTGAGTTCCAGAACAGACTCCAAAATAATACAGAGAAACCCTGTCTCAAAAAACAAAATAAATAAATAAATAAATAAATAAATAAATAAATAAAAGTTTGAAAAATAAGCCTGGCCCCAGCCTTATTCTTTCTGGCTTACCCTCAGCTCCATATCTTCCTATTTGCTACTCTCGACCTTGCTACCTAAGGTCCCATACACAAGTCATTAGAGGATTAATTTTAGGCCCAACTGATAACCTCACACTCTGCCCCCCAGGGTACTCTTCCCCCGGAGAGGGATCCAACGCCTCCCCTGCCTTCTGCTCTCACCATGCTTACTGCGATGACTCAGACCTCTGTTGCGGCCCTCTCTAAACCCTGACACTTGTCTCTGACGCTTGTCGGCCTGCCACCTCCCTTCCTGGCGTGCTCTCACCACGCTGTCCTCAGAGCAAAAGATGCTGAAACTGAGCTCAGTTGTTTCCTGGAGCTTCCAGACACAAACATCTCAGGGAGCATCGGCCTTGACAGAGTCCCCGCAAAGGGGGAGATCGGTTGAGTGGGGGCGCACCTGCGATCCTAGCACCTGAGAAGCTGAGGCAAGAGGATCTTGAGTTTGAGGCCGGCCTGGGCTCCCCGAATTCTGTCTCAACACACAAAACAAACACACACAAAAAAAAAGGAGGAAAGAAAAAAAAAAGAGGAAGTAGTTTGGAACTACCCAAACTATTCTATTCAACAAAAGGGATTGAGTAAGAGAGTAATGACGTCTAGGCATCATTGTACTAGGCACCTGTTCAAAAGAATGAGGAAGACGCTAATAGACAGATGCAGGAAGATCTGCGATATCAAAGGAAAAATCTTTTTAAAGAACAGGAGATAAGAGTGAGCAACGCACAAATATATTGCCTACAAAAGGAAGAATGAACTCCGTGTGCATGTGCGTGCGTGCGTGCGTGTGTGTGTGTGTGTGTGTGTGTGTGTGTGTGTGTGCATGTGTTCATTCATGTCTGCATACACAGACCAGCTTCACATGCTTTATAGTAATGGTTGCCTCTCAGGAAGGGACGGGGACTCAGGTATTGAGAGAGCTCTCCCTGTGACGTATGGTTCTTCTTGGACGTGGAACACGCTGCCTCCTCCCGAAACAGTATTGTACAAGAATCTGTTGCCTCACCATATACGCAGTGCCCATGTCTGAGGAGGCAACTATCATGAGATTAAAAAAATATTTGAAAAAAAAGGAGAAAAATAATTGGGGAAAAAATGGATGGAGAGACGGTGAGCAATGGAGAGCACCGGCTGTTTTTGCCGAGGTCCTGATTTCATTTCCCAGCAACCCCAGGAATCTCACGACTGCCTGTAACTCCAGCTGCATGGGATCTAACACCATCTTTTGCCCTCTGAGAGTACCAAATCTTATCAAAACAGATAAATAAATGATGCAAAAATAGTTGCCTAAGGAATACGACAAGAAAAAAAATCTACACATAGATAGTAGAGAGGTGGGAAGGAAGTCTAAGCCATCCTTGGCTACATAGTAAGTCCTAGGTTCAGCCTGGGCTACAGGAGAATCTGTTTCAAAATAACAGTAGTAAATAATAATAATAATATAGGTCTGAGGGATGTAACTTAGTGGTAGTATGCTTGTCTAGCATGTACAAGACCCTAGGTTCAAGCTCTGGTGACATCCACAGAAAGAAAGAAAGAAAGAAAGAAAGAAAGAAAGAAAGAAAGAAAGAAAGAAAGAGAGAAGGAGGGAGAGAGAGAGAGAGAGAGAGAGAGAGAGAGAGAGAGAGAGAGAGAGAGAGAGAGAGAGAGAGAAAGACAGAAGACAGAGAAATCCTATGAGGAAAGAAAGACCTGTGTAGTTTAGATGTGTAGACATTTTTTCTTGTTCTATTCCTTAAGGAGCTATTTCCACAAATCTAGATCACAAAGGTATTAATGAGGGTCTGGAGAAGCTTTTTGTTGGGGGGAAGGGTGGAGACAGGGTTTCTCTGGCTGTCCTGCAACCCACTCTGTAGCCCAGGCTGGCCTCAAACTCACTGAGATCCACCTGCCTCTACCTCCCAAATATTGGAATTAAAGGCATGCGCCACCATCTGCCCAGCCCTGGAGAACCTTTAATGGGTGCAGAGGATGTATGTAGGGCCTATGCAAATACGCTGTCTATTTTGCTAAGGGACTGAAGCCTCTCTGAATTGGTATATCTTGAGGGTTAGTCCCCTACGGGCACCCAAGGAGACTTGCGTGCTAACCAATCTGCAATTCTTGGGAAGGTAACAAGACTATTTATTTTTCAAGCAGATACTAACCAAGTAACTGGGCTGAGAAGTGGGAGCGGGGTGGGGAGGAGGCGTTTAAGAGAACCCAGGAGTGGTCCAGGAGAACACCCGGAAGAGAGGAAATGACCTCCCTCTCTGATAGGCGTTTCCATGGAGATGGAGATGCTCTCGGCTGTGAGATTCAAGATGGCAGCCGCCAGCTACATGTGGGCACTGAGCTTTGAAGATGGCGTTGGAGTATCCGGGGAAATGATCTCCTAAATGTAATTTTAGTTGAATAGAGAGAAAGGCTGACGGCTGCTGCGTGGATCGGCACTGGTTATCTAGGGCACCTGAACATCAGCACCGGAAGTTGTATGGTCGTATGCTGTGCAACTCAGCAATGTGGGGACACAGTATTATTCTTTCCTAAGTTTACATGCTTTTTTTCTTTTTTTAGATAAGACCTCGTGTAGCCCAGGCTGGCCTTGAACTCCTGATCCTCCTGCCTCTATCTGGGGTTACAAGTGTGTGCCACTAGGCCAGCTTTCACTACTCGAATTTCAAGTATTCTCTCTCTCTCTCTCTCTCTCTCTCTCTCTTTGAAACCCTGTCTCAAAAAAACCAAAAAGAAGGAGGAGGAGGAGGAGGAGGAGGAGGAGGAGGAGGAGGAGGAGGAGAGGGAGGAGGAGAGGAGGAGGAGGAGGAGGAGGAGGAGGAGGAGGAGGAGGAGGAGGAGAAAATTATGTAAAGGAACCAGGCATGGTGGTGGTACATGCCTGTAATCCCAGCACTGGGGAGGCTGAAGGAGAAGAATCATATAATTAAGACCATCTTGGGCTAGTAGCATCCTGTCTTAAAAGATCAGGGACAGAAATGTAACTCAGTGGTAGAGCACCTGCCTAGAATTCCCCAGTGAGGGGCTGGGGACTCTACAGGTCAGGGGTCAACAGAGTGCCTTGGTGTTCCAGAACTTGTGTGGAAAGGAAAAAGAACAGTCGATCATAGCCCTCCCTGTTCTGGAAACCCCAATTGGTCAGGGCAGGGCCAGAGGATGACATGGGACCCAGGGATGAAGAAAGCTTGCAACTTCCCCGGTCACCGACTTTTCCATTTCCTCTTTTGTGTGGATGAAGCAAGGTCGTATCCTCTGTCACAGAGGTGCCAGATCGCAACTCTCCTAGTACCATGTCCCAACCTCAGGGCTCAGGCACAGAAAAGGGACCCCTGGGGCTGGAGAGACGGCTGAGCGGTGAAGAGCCCTGGCTGCTCTTCCAGAGGACCTGGGTTCAATTCCTAGCACCCACATGGCAGCTCCCAACGGTCTGTGACTCCAGTTTCAGGGGACCCGACACCTTGACACCAATGCACATAAAATAAAGTTAAATAACAACCAACCAACAGACCACAGCCTCAGAGAACCTAGGTATCAAACAGGACCCTAAGAGAGACACACATGGATTCACCTAGGAAGGGGAAAAAGACAAGATCTCCTGAGTAAATTGGGAGTGTGGGGGGCAGGGGGGAGAGGGGAGGGGGGAAGGGGAGTGGGAGGGAAAAAAGTATAGCTCAATTAATTAAAGAAATAAAGTTAATTAATTTTAAAAAGAGACCTGCTTAGAGGGACACAGACTCTGGGCCACAGTTCCCCCTCTAACTTCTCCAGGAGTGACCATTCTTCCAAACTGCTGTCAAGACTTATTTTGTTTTTGGGTGTTTGTTTGTTTGTTTGTTTGTTTTGAGGCATGGTCTCATTCTGTAGCACTGACTGTCCTGGAACTTACTCTGTAGACCAGGCTGGCCTCGAACTCAGAAATCCACCTGCCTCTGCCTCCTGAGAGCTGGAATAGCAGGTGAGCACCACCACGGTGGGTAGTTTGTAAAATTATGTTTTTGTTGTTGCTCTTCTGAGACTGGGTCTCACTTAGCCCAGGCTAAGCTCAAAATCACTCTGTGAGATTGAACATCCAACTCCTGTGCTCCCACCCGAGTGCAGGGATCACATACATGAACCACCACATGGGGATTCCATGTACCTCTGAACCCTGTTTTACAGGGTGCTGGTAATTAGACCCAGGGCTCACAGCACTCCCACCAAGCATACCTGAGCTGTACCTCCAATTTTAACACAATAGCTTACAGTGTAGCTCAGGCTAGCCTGAAGCTCACTATGTAGCTGAGGCTGACCTCGAACTGCATGCAGCACCCTACCCCAGCCTCTTGAGGGCTTAGATTACAGGTGTAAGCTGCCACGCCCAACTGCTAGAACTCTTCATTTAGGAGAGCCAGCGCCAGGGTTTTCTGACCTGAAGAACCTTCTCGGGTCTGCAGCCCTGTGAGGCTACTGTGGTTCCCGCTGCTCCTCCTAGTCCTTGGCCACATCCCATCCCCAGTGTCCGAGCTCGGCGAGCGGGTGGTAGAGGGCAGATGAAGACAGCTTGAAGGAGGGAAGGGGCAGAAGGAGTCCAACCGGGAGCGTGAGGGGAGAGAGGAACCCACTCACCATGTCTCGGCTCCTCCCGGGCTCTGTGGTGACCAACGGCAGATGCCTGAATGTCCCTCCTGTGGACGGAGCCGTGCTTTTTAAAGAAGAGATGTGGGCAGCTGGGAGGAAGTGACTGTCTTGTCCCTCTGAGATGCTCATTGGTCACACACTGGCCATTTTAGTTGGGGCTCCCTCCACTGGTGCTCACCCAGAAAGCCCTGAGCACTACCCAGTGCGACCCAAGCCAAGGAGAAAAGTCAGGCTTGGAAAAATAAGGAAGTCTCTGGCCCCGGAAGGGAAAAAGGCCTTCTTCCCTCATCTTAAGAGCACTCTACTTCAACAGAAGGAAGTCTCAGGGTTCCTGGGGTTTCCAGAGAATAGGGGTGGTAACCACAGCCCCAGCCTCCGAATCAAGTGGCCTTTGGGGGGGTTGTTTGTTTATTTGCTTATTTAAAGATTTATTTGCTTTTTTTTTTTTTTTTTTTTTTTTGGTTTTTCGAGACGGGTGGGCTTGCAAGAGGTTCTAGTGTCTGCTCTACCCAAGACACAGGAGGCTGGAGAGGTGGCTCAGGGGTTAAGAACGCGCTCAATGAAATCTGGCGCCCTCCTCTGACCTGCAGGCGTACCTGCATGCAGAACACTGTACATGTGGTAAATAAATCTTTAATGGAGGCAGGTGGATCTCTGTGAGTTCCAGCGCTAGCCTGGTCTACAGAGCGAGTTCCAGGACAGCCAGGGCTACACAGAGAATCCGTGTCTTGAAACACACACACACACACACACACACACACACACACACACACACACACGGAGCCTGTGGGAAGTGCCAACAATGGAGAAATGACTGTTTAAGGATGTCCTCTGACTTCCACTCGGCACCATGCACCATGGTCCCACACACAAAATAAATAAATAAATAAATAAATAAATAAATAAATAAATAAATAAATAAAATATAAAGCAGGGCGGTGGTGATGAGCACAGTCAAGCTCATCAGGAGGTACAGACAAAGAGTTCCAGAACAGCTGGGGCTACACAGAGAAACCATGTCTCCAAAACAACAGCAAAACGTAACTTTAAAAAAAATTTAACTGGCCGGGCGTTGGTGGCGCATGCCTTTAATCCCAGCACTTGGGAGGCAGAGGCAGGTGGATCTCTGTGAGTTCCAGGCCAGCCTAGTCTACAGAGCGAGTTCCAGGACAGCCTCCAAAACAATACAGAGAAACCCTGTCTTGAAAAACAAACAAAAAAAAATTAACTAAATTACATAACAGTAGACTGTGTTAGTTTCGTGTGTTGGCCATAACCACCAGTCAGAGACCTGTGGCTAATGAGATTGAAAAGTTACAATCTCACGCTTCCAGAATCCATATGTCTGAAAGTCATGGTGACCCAGGACTGTCTTACAGAATGTTCTAGACCTCTTCCAGTTTCTGATGGCCACTGTCTCTTCTAGCGGCACTTGTCCTTTTATCCACAAAGTCCCCTTTCCCAGGAGATGGCTCAGTGGTTAAGAGCACTGGCTGTTCTTCCAGAGGAACCTGGATTTAATCCCCAACAACCACATGGTGACTCACAACCATCAGTAATAAGATCTGGTACCCTTTTCTGACTTACAGCATACATGTAAAGACAGAACACTGACACATAATAAATAAATAAAACTTTAATTAAAAAAAAAACCTTTTAGAACCAGGCAGTGGTGGTGCTCATCTTTAATCCCAGCATTTGGGAGGCAGGCAGATCTCTGTGAGTTCGAGGACAGCCTGGTCTACAAGAGCTAGTTCCAGGACAGCCTCCAAAGCCACAGAGAAACCCTGTCTCGACACCCCCCAAAAAAAGCCCCGTTTTCCATAAAAGGTTACATCCATACCTTCTAGGTGGGCTTGGGCTGTTTATTTTTTTGGGGGGAGGGAGGCTACCATTCAAGCAACTCCATGAACCAAACTGTTCCCCAAAGTAGAGACCTTTTCTTTTTTAATACTTATCCATTTATTTTTTATATATGTTGGTATTTTGCCTGCATGTGTGTGCCTGGGTAAGGGTGTCAGGAACTAGAGTTATAAACAGTTGTGAACTGCCATGTGGTTGCTGGGATTTGGACTCAGGACCTCTGGAAGAACAGTCAATATTCTTAACTTCTGAGCCACCTCTCCAGCCCATGGAGAGCCCTTCTCAAGGCATGCTCTTGTTATTGTCCCCAGAAGGAGGCTCACAGACTCTGAACGCCTAATGTGAGCAGGGTAAATGGACCCTGGGTCGTCTTAGGTTCTTGCTTGCTATCCCACAGCCTCTGCACTGGCCTTTCCTGAGTGGGAAAGGGATGCAGGCGAGACACCTGGAGATGTGATTCAATTGGTGTAGTGCTTGCTTAGGATGCAAGAAGTCCTGGGTTCGATGCCACAGCACCACATAACACCAGACGAGTGCCTGTAATCCCAGCCTCGGAGAAGTGCCAGCACTATCTGGAGCTCAAGACCGCCCTCTGTATACATCAATCCAAGGCCACCCGGGGCCATCTGATTCCCTGTCTCAAAGACAGTAAGAAGAAAAGAAAGCGCCTGCCCCGCAGCTCTGATTTCAGCCTGGGAATCCCGCTTGGAGACCTGGCTAAGTGTTTGTCTGATTCTCAATGCGCAGCTAGCGCCCCCATGTGGCTGTGTACTAATCACGCGCCTCTTCAGGGCTCACCCCAGTTTATGGCATGGGGCTTTGCTTTAAATACGTATATATTATTTTTTAAATGTGTCTGAGTTCTTTGCCTGCACCCATCTCTATGCAGCAGCACGTGTGTGCCTAGTACCAAAGGAGATAAGAAGACGTCGTCGAATCTCACACAACTGGAGTTACAGAAGGTTGTGAAACTCCGTATGAGCACCCTGGGGGACTGTGTGTGTGTGTGTGTGTGTGTGTGTGTGTGTGTGTGTGTGTGTGTGTGTGTGTGTGTGTGTGTGTGTGTGAGTGTTTGCTTTGTAGCTCAGAGAATCAATCTCAAACTCATACCTTTCGCATGCTGGACAAGAACACTACCATTTGCCGACAGCCACACCTCAATGGTTGGGTTTGAAATCTACTGAAAATCTCCAACGAAGACAGAAAGGTTGTCTTCGGAAGGAAGTAACTTATATTCTCTAATTTGTGCTTTCAGCCTCAAAATCCCTATACAGTAGAGGATGGCCTTGAACTTCCTCCTTCTGCCTCCACCTGGAGTTACAGGAGACTGCCACAGGATCAGGTTTGTGTAGTGCCGGATGAACATGGAGCCCTGGGCTTCCTTTTTGCTAAGCAAATGGTCCACACCACAAGCTGCTAGTCTCTCACCCTACCTAGAGCTGTTGAGCACACTCCCAAGACGATAAAAAGGACTGGGTGGAACTAAATAATAAAAATCAGTATATACAAAATCTACGGGAGAGTGGCAGTCTCTTGAGGTAATAGTTTTAGGGACAGCAGTTTATTTGGAAAGTGCCAAATAGTGAGGGACTGGGGGTGTGGTTCAGTGGTAGAGCCCCTGCCTAGAATCTCCCAGTGAGGGGCTGGTGTGTGGGTCAGTGGTAGAGCCCCTGCCTAGAATCTCCCAGTGAGGGACTAGGGGTGTGGCTCAGTGGTAGAGCCCCTGCCTAGAATCTCCCAGCGAGGGGCTGGTGTGTGGGTCAGTGGTAGAGCCCCTGCCTAGAATCTCCCAGTGAGGGGCTGGTGTGTGGGTCAGTGGTAGAGCTCCTGTCTAGTATATGTGAAGCCTTAATTCAATCCCTAGTTTTGCAAAAGAAAAAAGAAATGAGGGGCTGGAGAGATCGTTCAGTGGTTTTTTGTTTGTTTGTTTGTTGTTTTTACGAGACAGGGTTTCTCTGTATTGTTTTGGAGGAGATCGTTCAGTGTTATGAGTACATACTGCTCTCTCCCTACGAGGGGGACTCACAACTACCTGTAACTCCAGTTCCAAGGATCTAATGCCCTTTTCTGGCCTCTGTGGTGCAGCCACACAAATAATAAAAATGAATCCTTAAAGTCTAACTTAATAATTTCAGCTTTTTATTTTAACATGCCAACTAAATTGTAATTACTTGGGTGAGATGTACTTTAATTCTAATAGGCAGTGCTGCTCTAGAATCCTCCTCAGTCCAAACAAATCCTCAGTGTCACCAGCATTTTCTCTTTTTTGAGACAGGGTTTCTCTGTATTGTTTTGGAGGCTGTCTTGGAACTCGCTCTGTAGACCAGGCTGGCCTCGAACTCACAGAGATCTGCCTGCCTCTGCCTCACAAGTGCTGGGATTACAGGTGTGCATTGCCACTTCTGGCTAATTTTTTTTGTGTGTGTGTGTGTGACAGGGTCTCACTATGTAGCCTCTGCTGGCCTGGAACTTGCTGTGTGCCAGGCTGGCCTCGAATTCACTGAGACTGTTGGGATTAACGGTGTGGACTACCTCGCCTGGCTAGCCCGCCAGTGTTTAGTTCGCTGCGTTCATCACTTTCCTCCTCCTCAGGAGGGCATCCCGTTACTAAGGCAACGGAGAACGGTGACTACATGGCGGGGCCTTTCGTGAGAACACCAAAGCAATGCATGGCCCTGAGAGATGGACAGATGGAGTAACTGGCTCCCCTTGGAAGGGCACGTTCACAGGGCACGTTCATAGGGCACGTTCACTGGTTTCTCAGTTCCCGTCCCGACCCCCCCCCCCCCGCCCCCAGGCTCCCAGGACCTTTTGCTACGGGGATAATTCCAAGATGCATTCCTTTCCGCAAAGAACGGAACAAGCTGTTTGGGTTATTAATATTCATGCCGGCTTCCATATGGCACGCGGGAAAGCTGGTACCCTCACGAACTCATTTATATCTGATTTTCTCAGATTGCGTTTTTACACCTGTTGTGGAGGAGGAGGTGTGCGTGCCACAGCTCGCAAGCCAGGGTTAGAGGATGATCTGAGGGAGCCAGATCTCTCTATCCGCCACGTTCATCCTCAGGCTTGGCGACAAGTGTCTTTACCTACTAAGCCGTCTTGCCCTCTCTACTCAGATCATTTTATCCTGGGTCTGATGTAGAACCTCTGTGTAGTCCCGCTTTAGAGAGAGGGGGTACCACCTTTATCTCACCAAGAAATTCTGTGTGTATGTGCGCCCGTGCATGATCACATGTGTGCAGGAGCAAATTCACATGTATGCATGTTTTTATGTGATTTGGGGGGAGGGTTCAAGACAGGCTTTCTCTGTAGCTTTCGAGACTGTCCTGGAACTCGATGTGTGGACCAGGCTGGCCTCGAACTCACAGAGATCCACCTGCCTCTGCCTCCCGAGGGCTGGGATTAAAAGTGTGCACCACCACCACTTAGTGTGATTTTTTTTTTCTGAGACAGGGTTTCTCTGTGTAGTCCTATGTGTCCTAGAACTCTCTCTCTCTCTGTAAACCAGGCTGGCTTCAAACTCTCAGAGACCCACCTGCCTCTGCCTCCCGAGTGCTGGGATTAAAGGCGTGTGCCACTAACGCCCGGCTTACCAAAGTGGATTTAAGCAGCACAGTGGTAGTCTTCCCCAGAAAGTGTTTGCTAACTTTAAATAGCATCCTCCCTACGGGAGGGTGACTTTTCCTGGTATCATTTTCATATTTACTTATTGAAATTAAGATGAAACAGAATGCCTAACAATTAAGATGACATTTTTCCCCTTCTATAAAGTATTCAAGTGGTTAATAAACACCTCTTGTGAACAACTTCAGTAATGCAGAAGTTGAGAGACTTGGATTTTGTTCCGTCTTGGTTTGAGTTTGGAGAAAGGATCAGTCTAAGCTGATCCCAAAACTCAGCAGTGTAAGCCAGACGGTGGTGGCGCACACCTTTGATCCCAGAACTCCAGAGGCAGAGGCAGGGGGCTCTCTCTGAGTTTGAGGCCAGCCTGGTCTACAGAGTGAGATCCAGGACAGCCAAAGCTACACAGAGAAACCCTGTCTCAAAAAACAAAGACAAAATAAAATTCAGCAGTGTGGCCAACGATGACCTTGAACTTCTGAACTCGGCCTCTCTTTCTGAGAGCTGGGATTTCAGGTGTGTCCCACCATGCCTAGTTGGTGCCTGACAAAGCCAACTTAAAGAAGGAAGGGTTGATTGGGGAACAGTCAGTGATGGCGGCAGGATCTTGAGGCAGCTGATCACGAACGTGTTCCCACTCAGGTAGCTGAGAGATGAATAATGGTGTTCATCTTGCTTTCCCCTTTGTATCCAGGGCCAGAATCCCACCGTGTGACGGTCTTCCCATCTCGGGTAACCTAGATGATAACCCAGAGGCTTATCCCTAGGTGACACTAGGTCGCATCAGGTTGGGGACAAGATGGGCGCAGCAGGGCTCCTCCGTGTGTGCTAGGCAAGCGCTGTACAGCAACCCTGTTTTGTTGTTGTTTGCTTTTCCTGCAGAGACAGGCTCTCCTCTGTATTAACCGTCATGGGGGGTACGGGGTAAGGCAAGGATACTCACTTCTCCACGTAGCAGTAGCTTCCATTCTTTACAGCATGGGGGGGCATGTCTCCTTACTGAGTGGTGGTCTTATGACCCCAGATGGGTGATGGGCTACGGAACCAAGGTGGGCTGTCTTTTTTTTTTTTTTTTTTTTTTTTTTTTTGGTTTTTGGGTTTTTGAGACAGGCTTTGGAGGCTGTCCTGGAACTCGATCTTGTAGACCAGGCTGGCCTGGAACTCACAGAGATCCGCCTGCCTGTGCCTCCCGAATGCTGGGATTAAAGGTGTGCGCCACTAACGCCCGGCTGTGTGTGTGACCACTCTTGTGTGTAATAAGATTGGTGATGGCTGCTCAGTGGGATGGACGGGCAACCTGCATCCTCCGTATTAGCCTCTGACTTGGCAGGTGGGCCAGCCTTCTGATACTTCAGGGTAAATCTGATACAAAAGGGAGGAGGAGATGGAGGAGAGCTGGGTTGCCATTTTCCACAGCTGGAGAGCCAAAAGCGAATAGGTTAGAAGGGTGCTTAGCGGCTGCTGGAACTTGGAACCCATAAAGAAACCAGAATGGCCCAGCACTCGGGAGGCAGAGGCAGGCGAATCACTGTGAGTTCGAGACCAGCCTGGTCTACCGAGCAAGTTCCAGGACAGCCTCCAAAGCCACAGAGAAACCCTGTCTCGAAAAACCAAAAAAAAAAAAAAAAAAAAAAAGAAACCAGAATGGGGGCTGGAGAGATGGCTCAGCGGTTAAGAGCACTGACTGCTCTTCCAGAGGTCCTGAGTTCAAGTCCCAGCAACCACATGATGGCTCACAGCCACCTTGAATGAGATCTGGTGCCCTCTGCTGGCATGTAGCCAGAAGATTGTATACATAATAAATAAATAAAATCTTAAAAAAAAAAAAAAAAAAAGAAACCAGAATGGGGAAGAGGACAGAGGGAGTGACAGGAGCTGGCCCTCAGGTCCCACGTTATTAGTGAGAAACTGAATCTGGGATCCAACACACAAGAATGGACAGTACAGGGAGACACTGGCAGGCAGGGAACACTCCGCGCCCCAAACTGCTCGAATTGGCAAAGACTTCCAAACAAGCAATGAAAGAGCCTGTCACAGCCTGGCTTGTGAGACTGTGAGACATGGGGGCGTGCGGACGCAGTCTGGCTGCTGTGGAGGCAGGAAGAAAAGAAAACTGAGCAATGAAGCTACCCGCCCCTCCTCAAGACAAAGGCGGCGTCAGCTGGGACGATCTGAGGAAAAGCGGTCCCCGATGGGCTGGCTTCTATGGGACGCTGGGGCACAGGTCCCCCCGGGGTCTCGGGGAAGAGGAATGATTGGCATTGATGAGGGAACTCAGCGTGAAAAGAACATCTAATGCTCCGTTCACCGGGCCAGACAGAACTCTGTTCATGGGAGACTTAAGAAAGACGATCCTGCCTCCGTTTCCCCAAATCCTGGTGTTGGACAGAAGCCCGCGCTCCTCGGGAACTTGTGAAGAAGGCTCCCCCTCTACCAAACGGAGCCATTTTCCTTATCACTGGCAGAAAGGACAAACGGCTATCTGTGGTGCCTTTGGCATACCAAGGCGTGTGCTGGCCTCCAGGCTCCCTCGGTCTCTCGGGCGCCAGTTACGCATTTCAGAGTCCATGCTGGCTAGGTAGCATCTTCTCCAGATCTTCTCATGCCCTCTCTTACCCTAAACTCCCTCAGCCATGAGCTTCCTCCCCCAGCTATTCATTCGCCTTGTGACCCGATTTTGATTATGCTCCCTGCCTTTTTTTGCCTGACCTTTGTCTTATCCTACCCCCCCCCACACACACACACACATCTCTTTTCTCTTTGCTCTGCTCTGGCCTGCTTCCCACTTCTCATGACCAGGTGACGGGACCTGGTCATGTTCAGTCTACTGCTTTCTTTCTCTCCCTGCTCTTCCCCTCCAGATGCTTCTCTCTCTGTCTCTCTCTCTCTCTCTCTGTCTCTCTCTTTCTCTCTCTCTCTCCCCTACAATAGAAACATTCCCCTTAACCATATCATGGAGCGGTCACATCATTTAAACAGATTCGGGGCTGCCAACACTCACTGAGGGAAGATGTCTGTGGCAAAATTCTGAGGGCCTGCCGGGCGGTGGTGGCGCACGCCTTTAATTCCAGCACTCGGGAGGCAGAGGCAGGAGGATCTCTGTGAGTTCGAGGCCAGGCTGAACCAACAGCCTCCAAAACAATACAGAGAAACCCTGTCTCGTAAAACCAAAAAAAAAAAAAAAAATTCTGAGGGCCTGAGTTCCATGCCTGGGTACCACAGCGGAAGGAGAAAGACAAGTCCTAAAAGCCGCCCTCTAACCTCCACGTGTTGTGCACACACGTGACTATTAATAAACAGCAAGAGGTGGGTTCCACAGGGGGCTTGGGATGGCACAGGTCTTAAGGGCCCTTCCGGGGGCCCATGGTGTGATCCTCAAGGCTTGAGGAGCTCTGGAAAATCTGAATGACTTTGGCCAGCTTGTGAATTGGACCCAAAGAGTAGCAACATGAGACTCGTCTGCTGAGCTGCCTGTGGATCATTCAGGTAGCTCCAGGGACTTCCCTTTCATGACTGTCAGTCACTTGCCAGAGACAGCTTTTCAACGATGTGGTTGCCTTGCTTGAGTCACCCATATTCTCCGTTAATGTGCCCCCCCAAAACTCAATTGATTGTGCCCTGTCTGGGGGGGTGAGTAGACATTTGCTACTGTCTCCCCAGGAAAAGTTAAGTCATCCCTCTGCTACACAGCAAGTTCAAGACCAACTTGGGCTATATGAGATTTAAAAAAAAAAGGAAATTAGTGTTTTTTTTCCAAAAACATTAAATAATATTGGACTAGTAATTAAGATAAATCTAGGTTTGACAGTGTGCCAAATTGCAGGTCCACAATCCCTTAGCTGAGGTCTTCAGGGACAGATGCGTTTCAGAACTCAAGGCTGATCCAATTTTAGAAAAACCGTTCTGCACCTATTATGCAAAGCCCCAGGGGTCTGAGGCAGGCGCTGTCCGCGCCCCCCATCAGGCATGGTAATATCTTTTTGCAGCAAAATGTGTGAACATACTGGAAGGGTTAGACAAAAATATATCACTTGGTATGAGTTAATTTGTCACCATGTGAGAGTGAGGTAAAATTATCCCACCCCCCAAAAAATATTTAAAGTTGTCAGTCAGAATTCAAAATCCACAAGCTGGCCAATAGTGGCCCACATCTGTAATGCCAACACTTCGAAGACAGCTGGAGCAATGGTAGTGAGACCCTGCCCCAAACCCCAGGGTTGGGAGGGCCAGGCTCAGCAGCAGAGCGCTATGGAGACAGAGTAAGTCAGTAGACACGGAGCACAGTGACAACATATAAAGACACTTCAGAGAAAGAGAAAGGGAAAAGCAGGGAGAGGACAGTGGAGGGAGACAAGAAAGGCTGAGGACCATGGGGCTGGGAGAAAAAGGGAGTAGAAAGGGAAGCCAGCAGGGACAGAGAAGAGGGCTTCTCTCAACTCACTGCTTGCTACTTGCTGGTGTGTGGCACTTTGAGCTACCAGGCCACCCAGGGAAATGCAAGCTGTGGTTCTGAAAGGGCTGGAGGACAAGGTGGAGGAGACAGGGAGCAGCAAACGCGTTTTCAGGTTTGGATCACTAGTTTAATTCGTTTCACAAGACCAGAGAGGTTAAGTACATGGCTGTGCATCATCCTGTGGGGAATGCTGGTGGGACAGAAGGGAGCCAGCAGGGTAGATGACACACTCCCGTGGACACGAGGCTCCCTTCCTAGGATGCTGTCCAGCTCAGAGGGAAGGCAGGCCAGACAGGAGAGCCTCTTCTCGCAGCAGGGTAACTCAGGCCTGCCTAGGGCCAGGCCGCAGTCACGGGTAAGGGGAAAACGGACTCAATCGCCTGACTTCCTTATCAAAAGCTATACCAGCTTCTCAGCCACAGTACCGACAGCAGCGCAGACCAGAGGTTGTACCCACACACTTTGCAAAGCAGCAAATGGTGTCTTGTCGTCACCCAAACTCTGGGTTCATCTCTCAGACCCCAGGAAAAAGCTACAGCATCCCTGGCCAGGGCATGAGAGCACAGGTGATGGCCTCTATCCTTGCTACTGTAAACTATACCAACAGCAGTTCCCAGCACACAGGATTGTCTCCGACGCTATGCAAGGGCTCGAGACACCCGGAAAACTGATAAGGCCCTCACAGTCTCTGACCTTCAATGGCCCCGAAACTGCCAAGCCGCTTTTCCCCGTTCCAACCCAAAATTTACATGAGAGCAAAGGAAGAGAAAAGCCTGTAAGGCCGCCAGGCCACAGGGTTAGAGGGGACCAGCCCGCGCTGCAGACGACCACAGACCAGGGAAGCGCAGCTGAGGCTGGAGTTTATTGCGGATGAACGCTGAGCCCCGGGGAGGAGCGGGGTGTGATGAAGTCGGGCAGGATCAGGACCGCGGCCAGGGGAGAGGAGGCGCGCACAGCACAGGCGAGGCCCAGAGGTGCAGACGGAGCTGGTGCAGGCCACAATGGGGGCGGGCCAGGCTATCCAGGCGCTCGGCGCGCGGTCTCCGGTGTCGCTCCCGGTGCTGGGCGGTGGCTGTGGCGACGGCTCCGTGGCAGTCCCGGCTGTGGCCTCGGCCCACCGGAGGCTCCAAGCAAGCAGGAGGCGGCAGGAGGTGGGGCGGGTGGCGCTACACGGGCACAAGGAGCGGCCGGCTCACTGGGCAGGGGGTCTGCGGGGCCCGCGGGCGGCCGCGTGGGTACCCAGATAAGCCCGTAGTACACGGCGAGCAGCACGGCGGCCAAGGACACACACAGGAAGTAGGCGCAGACCGGGGCAAGTCGCAGCCATCGGCCGCGGGGGCCCTCGCTCAAGCCGGCGCCGCCTGGGCTCTCGCCACCGCCGCCCACACAGCTGGAGCCCCGCATCGCGCCGTCTACACCACCCGCGCTGGCCCCGCCCCCACCCCGGGACCGCCCCACGGAGGTCCCGGCCCCGCCCGAGACCACCTCACGCAAGCCACGCCCCCTCAGGGGCCACGCCCCCTCCACAAGACCTTCCCTCCCTGCCCTAAGTCACCGCCCCCGCGCCAAACCCAGCCACACCCTCACATCCTAGACACGCCCCTACCGCCTCGGGCCAACCACTACCAAGAAAAGATCCTTAGCCACGCCCCTCCGCGGCCACACCCGCCTGGTCCCCCAAGCGCCCTAACTGGGACTCGTGTTCCCCGCCCTGGGCCTCTCCCAGCTTGTCCGAGCCCTCCCTTCTTCCTCCGAGTGCAGCTCGGCACACGAGCCACCCTCTGGCCGCTGGAGGTCAGGCTCCCAGTCTATTGGAGCAGGCGGCCCACAGAGCTTGGGAGCGCTAGCCCCGCCCACCGAGCCCGGGCCCCGCCCCTCCCTGCTTCACATCACTGGCGTTTGCAGGACCCAGCTCTGCCTGTCGCCCCAGCTGACCCCTTCCCCCGTAACTCCGCACCAGCGTAACTTCTCCCGCTCCCTAGAGGCGCAGGGTCCAAAGGGGGCTGCAGGGAGGAGAGCAGCTAGCCCGGGAGCCAGGCAAACCTGCGCTGCCGCCCCTCCCGGCAGCGTCTTCACGATTGCGGGAGAGCCTGCGGGGTGGGAGGGGAGAGGCGTCAGGACGGCGAAGAACACCCTCGTCCCGCCTCTTCCGCCACAGCAAAGCCCGCCAAGCACAGCAGCCCAACCTGTCCCGCCAGCAGCACAGCTCAAGGGTTGGCGGGAGCACGCATTTAATTCAGATCCTCCAGAGAGCTTCAGGCCCTAGCTGCAGTCCGGCACACCCAGGGGCTGGCTCGGAGGTCTCCACCAACCGAGTATCGTACAACTCCTCAGCGAACTTAGGGGACTCCCCCGGCCCGTCGCTAGCCTGACTCCTCCCCCCTACGTTTAACCCTGTCCTGGCCGGAGTGTAGCAGAAGCAGAGGAGCGAAGCGGCTGGAGGTTGGTGCGGAGTGCCAAGGCCCAGGTGGGCTGGTGCTGTCAGCGGGCAGCCCCCGGCGGCGGCGAAGCCGCCACCACCTTGCAGAAACGCACCCTCTGGAAGTCTGTGATCTCCGCTGTCTCCTGGCCCTCATGGCCCACCTCTGAGGAGATAAAAAATGGTAAATGGAAGACCAGACTGCCAGACCCGCCCTGTCCAGCCACCTGCGACCCACAGGAGGCCCATAGCCCCCTCCAATCTAAGCCCGCTGGGAAGCGCTGGTGTAATGATACCTGTCATTCTCCCAGGACCCCAAACGGTTTTGTCTGGCCTGGCCCCTCCCTCAGCCTCCACCCCCACCACTCATTTGACTGTCATTCCTGGGCTCTGCCCACTGGAGAGGAAGGGAAAGAGAAACAGGCCAGAAACCCGGCTCTCCACGCTAGGGCAACCAAGATCAGCCTCTTGCTTCTACTCTGTGGGGTCCAAAATTCCACCCAGGTCTTCCCCTAAACACTAACCCCGCCCTCAGATAAGCCTAAAGTCGGCTCCATTCATTCATTCGTTCCTACCTTTTTTTGCTTTTACAAGGTCCCTAACCAGAATTAGTCTCAAACTCAAGACTACAAATTCAGCCTCTTTCCCCTGGGGTCGTTCAGATTTCGAATCCTGCCCTTAGCTACTTCCTAAGCCCTTTACCTCACTGAGCTTCCCCTGAGCCTGGCTTCCTGGCCCAGTGCTATTCACAATTCCTATTGGCTGGAGCCTTACAGATCACCCTGACTCCAGCTCTATGCACCCAGACATGACACAACACAGCACCTGACTCACCTCATGCCCTGTCCCCCTAGCACCCCACAAGCCCCGCCAATTTTCTGTCCCCAAGCCCTTCCCTCCCCCCAGGAATGCAAGCAGCCCCCACCTCCACCAGCCTCATGCACCCCACCTGGAGATGCCTCTGGCCCCTCTTCTTCAGACTTCGGGGCTCCTGCCAAGGCTGGTCCACTCTCCAAGGAGGCAAGGGCTGACTGGTCACCTCCTGGAGAAGGGGAGGCTCAGTCAAGCCCCTCCTTTTCCAAACATCTCCCCACTTGAGGGGGGCTCAAGGACACAGTGGGGGTGTGCCATTTAAGGAAGTGAAATTTTTATTGGAGAGAGGCTCTGAACCAGCAAGAGCAGGCTATAGGAAATGGGCTGAGGGCATTGGGTGACCACCAACTGCCCTTCCCTGCCACAGGGGCTGGGGGAGGTGTGGGCACAGCCACACCCTTGTGAGCTCAGAGGAGCATATGCACACGCACCCCCACACACGCAGACACACACACACACACACAGCCAGTTTCATGCATTCCCAAAAGGCCAGGCCTCACCCGCAGAGTGGGCACCAGGCGAGTGGGCAGTGCTGGGAGAATTCAGTTCCATCTCCTCACCCCAGTCGGACACAGGCTGGTGGTCCCCAGCGGGCGAGAAGGGGCTGGGAGGTTCAACAGGGTCTGGGGACAGCGACTCCTGGGGCCCGGCAGGTGCAGGGTTGGCCTGCTCACAGGTGGTCATCCCAGCAGGCTCAGCCTCTCCAGGCTGCTGATCGGGACCAGCTGGGGCTTCCTGCTCCTTAGGACCCTCTTCCTCCTCCTCAAACTCCTCTTCCTCCTCCTCCTCCTCCGTGACATCTTCACTAACATCCTCCCATTCTTCATCCTCATCATCTTCCCTCTCCTCTTCTCCCTCCTCCTCTTCCCCCTCCTCTTCCTCACCATCCTCCTCAGGAGGTCGGTGGGCTGGGGCTGGGGTCTCCGGAGGCTGCTGGGAACACAGGCAGATCAGGGAAAGGCTCGGGGTCTGAACACCCCCCCCCCACCAACATTCATCCCCTTATCCCTGCTCTGCCTTACCTGCGTGGGCGCCTCCTCCAGGGGCGTGGATTGAGAGGACTCAGGGGCTGAGGACACAGCTTCCTTTTTCGTCTCCCAGCGATTATCATGATCACTGAAAAGGACAGAGCACAGGGGTAAGGCCTGGGTGAGGGATGGACTTCTCAGAGAGCGTCTGTCTGTCTCGCTGCACTGAGGGACAAAGAGGACAGTAGACGCCAACAGGGCCGAGACAGATCAGTGTGCCCTCCAACTCAAGCCAGAGAGGACTCCAGGTACCCAGACACACTGAGAAAGGGAGGAAGATCCCAGGGAGGGCACCCCACCTATAGGCACGTGGGGCCACCTTGGCCTGGGGTTGGCTGTTCTTTCTCCTTCTGCGGCTCTTGACCTCTGCTTTGTGCTGAGAAAGGAACTCTCCAAAAGTGGGAGGCTTAGGGGGTCTTGCCCAAGCTTGGTCATCTACAACAGAAACCCAGATCCAAGGACTTAGGAGAGGGGGACAGAGCACAAGCCACGCTCAAAGCCCACTGCTTAACCCTTTCCAAGATACTACTCACCATAGCGGTGGGACGGTTCGTGGGTAGGAGCTGGCCCATCCTTGAACCTAGGAAGAGAGAGCAAATCAAGCAATAGCTTCGGGAACCAAGGAGAGGCAAGAGAAAGCCAGGGAGATGGCGACAGGGACAGATGACAGCAAAGAAGCACCAAAGGGGCCACTGGTTAGAATGGGGTCAGACGGGATAAGGGATGAGCGGCAAACCCAGCTTTCTAGGGACAAAACCAGACAAAGATACAAATGTGGCCTCTGAAATAAAAACGTGGGGGTTGGAGAGATGGTTCACTTCCCCCACTGACCTCAGCAGCTTGAGCATCTAGCCACCCAAGACAGGGAAGTCCCTTGGGGTTGGTGCCCTCAGCCTGCACCCCAGAATGAATACTCATCCATGTTCAAAACAAGAGCAAGGACATAACCTGTGGGCCAGGCATGGTGCCACATATCTGGGACCCCAGCACTTCAGACGGATTGGCAGAAGAATCGGGTTCAAGCTATCCTTGACTCCACAGCAAATCAAGGTCAACCTTGGCTACATGCCTCAAAGAAACAAAAAGTAGCCAGCCGTGGTACACAGATCTTTAATCCCAGCACTCAGGCGGCAGAGTCAGGTGGAGGCCAGCTTGGTCTACAGAGCTAGTTTCAGGACAGCCAGGGCTACACAGAGAAACCGGTCTTGAAAAACCAAAAACAACAACAATAAAAACAAAAAGGCCGGGCGGTGGTGTCGCACGCCTTTAATCCCAGCACTCGGGAGGCAGAGGCAGGCAGATCTCTGTGAGTTCGAGGCTGGGCTGGACTGACAGCCTCCAAAACAATACAGAGAAACCCTGTCTCGTAAAAACCAAAAAAAGAAAAAAAAAAAAAAAAAGAAACAAAGAGTAAACAAGCAATAATAAACATGGAAACTCTTGTCACTACCAGCAACTCCCATCTCCAGGCAAGCAGACGGTTCTGAGTGAGTCCAAGCCAGCCAGCCACTCTGGACCAGCAGCTGAGGGCTTCCCTATCCCTTACCCTTTGCTGGCTGTGCAGGGAGATACAGACCTAAGTGGGCAAGAGTTCTGTGCCAGCCTAAGTCAACGTAGCCCAGCAGGCCTATGAGCAAGGGACAAAAAGCTTTTCATATACAAGCTGGGAACTCTGAGGCCCAGCCTGGAGGATGCTCGATTCCATGCCCATCGGAGCTGCACACCCAGGCCCACACGATAGAACCAATTCCCACGAGTTGTCTTCTGTGGCCTCTCTCAATAAAGAGTTTTGCATAAGGAGCTGTAGAGATGGCTCAGAGGACCCGGGTTCAATTCCCAGCACCCACATTGCAGCTCACAACTGTCTGTAAGGCAGGAAGATTGAAAGGTCAAAGCCAACCTAGGTAACACAGTCTCAAAAAGTAAAAGATGAAAGGGCAGAAGAGAGCCCTGGATGCTCTTCCAGAGGACCCTGGTTCATTTCCCAGTGCCAACATGGTAACTCACAACCGTCTGTAACTGCAGTTTCAGGGAATCTGACACCATCTCTGGCATCCATGGGCACCAGGCACACACACTTAACACAAACATGCATGCAGACAGAACAATACCCGTATTTTTTTTTAGTATCTTAAAGGTGGGGAATGGAGCTGTGGAAATGGCTCAGCGGTAGAGCACCTGTGTAGAATCCATCAGTGGAGGGTTAAGGGTGTGGCTCTGTGGTACAGTACCCGTCTAGAATCCCCTAGTGAGGGGCTGAGGGCCTAGCTCAGCTTTGTGCACGACAAAGGCCACACGTTCAATCCCCAGCACCAGAGGGAGAAGAAAGGCACACCCCCAAGACTGGCATGCTGTAGCCAACGTCACCGATGCCCACAATGATGAGTGGCTCGAGCCAAGGCCCCGCAGGAGGGCCGACTCACATGCCATCCGTCTTCTCGGCATCCCATTCCCGTCGCCACTGCCCAGTGGGCTTGCGGTGTCTCTGCAGGCGCTCCTGGTCGATCTTCTCCCTCTCCTGCTTCCAGCGCAGGTACTCTGACCGCTCTCGGCCCGTCATGGACATCGTCATGTCTCCCCCAACGCCCAGGCCAGCCCTGCGGCCCTGCAGGCACCACAGGCAGTGAGACCCCAGCTCCCCTCCACAGCCTGCCCCCCAGACATAAACAGGGCCCCCCTCAGGGCACACAGGACAGAGCTGACGAGCAGCAGGCAGGTGGGTGGCTGAGGTTGCCTCCTCAGAAAGGATCTGTCTCTTATCTATTTATTTTTGGTTTCTGACAGGGTCTCCCAGTCCAGAGTGGCTGCCTGAAACTCACTATAGAGCTAAGGATGGCCTTAAACCCGTGTGCTGGCTAGTTTTATGTCAACTTGACACAAACTAGGGTTATTTGGGAAGAGGGATCCTCAGGTGAGAAATGCCCACACCACATTGGCGGGCCTCCACCTTCCAAGCGCTGGGTCTCATCTTTCTTTCTAATTAAACAGTCCTTTTTTTTTTTTTTTTTTTTTTTTTTTTGGTTTTTCGAGACAGGGTTTCTCTGTATTGTTTTGGAGGCTGTCTGGGAACTCGCTCAATAGACCAGGCTGGTCTTGAACTCACCTCTGCCTCCCGAGTGCTGGGATTGAAGGCGTGCACCACCAATGACCAACGCCTGGCTAAACAGTCCATTTTCCGTGTGTGTGTGTGTGTGTGTGTGTGTGTGTGTGTGTGTGTGTGTGTGTGTGTACGTTGCATGCACACGTACATGTGAGGCCAGAGGAGTGTTCTGTCACTGCCCCCCACCTTATTAACCCTTGAAGCAGGGTCTCTCTGAGCACATGGAATCTGACCTAGGCTAGCAGCCAGCACAGTTCCTAGGCATGCCTGGAGTCTGCTCAGCCTTTTTTTCACAGGAGTGCTGGGGATTCGAACCCAGGTCCTAATACATGCAACATGCACGCTTACCCACTCACCCATCCCCCCGTCTTTCCTTTTTTTTAGATATATTCTCATTATCTTTCTGTATATGCCAAAGTATGGAAAAGCATTTAGACTACTCTTTTTGTGTTTTCTGAGACAGGGTTTCTCTTTGTAGCCATGACTATCCTGGAACTCACTTTATAGACCAGGCTGGCCTCAAACTCTGAGATCTGCCTGCTTCTGCCTCCTGAGTGCTGGGATTAAAACGTGTACCACCACCATCCAGCATCACTCAGGCACTCTTAATCACTGAAGCATCTCTCCAGCCCTCTCCTCATCTTTCTTGGTTTGTTTGGCTGGTTTTGGTTTTTTGAGACAGGGTTTCTCTGTGTAGCTTTAGAGGCTGTTCTGGAACTAGCTCTTGTAGACCAGGCTGGCCTCGAACTCACAGAGTTCTGCCTGCCTCTGCCTCAGGAGTGCTGGGATTAAAGGCGTGGGCCACCACCGCCTGGTCTCCTCATCTTTCTTAAGAAACATCCCTGACGGTTCCTCGCTCTTTGAGGTGATGACATTTTATAATACCCAGTCTTTAATTAGATGTTTACCCGTTCAGTTGTATTGGATTACAGTACAGCTCTGTCTTACAAGTTATTTTTCCCTGGCCTATAATCCCAGCATTTGGGAGGCTGAAGCAGGAGGTTCAAAAGTTCAAGACCGCCTGAGCAACTTAATAAAGATAAAAGGACTGAGGCTGTAGTTCACTGGTAGATAGTTTACACAGCAAGTGTAAGCCCCTGTACAGTGTCCCAGCACGACAAAAAGAAAAAAAGGCCTAACATGAGGACACTGGCAACAGGGCTTGGTGGTGCACAGCTCTAAGATCAGCTCTCGGGGTAGAAGCAGGCGCATCTGTGTGCTGGGCTTAAAGCTGGAACTCCACATAAACCGGGCTGGCCTGGAGCTCAAGGTCACCAGGGCTAGACAGTGAGACCCTCATCTCAAAAAAAAAAAAACAGGAAACACTGGCCAAGCATGGTAACCCAAACTACATAGCAAGATCCAAACCAGCCTGAGTCCCTATCTCAAAAGCCCCCAAATCAAGCAGCACCCGGCCAGTCCAAAGCACAGCTCTTGGGAAGCTGCAGCGCCCACCTGTCTCTCGTGTTCCAAGCCAGAGCGCACCCGCTCGAAGTCAGAGCCTCCCCAGTTGCGGCCATGCCGGCGGCTGCCCTCCCGGCGATCCCTCTCGGGCTCTTCCAGGGGTCCACCCCGACGCCGGGGGTCATCCAGGAAATTGCGCACGGGGTTGGGCTCCAGCACCCCTTCCTGCAGCAGAAGAGCTGGCAGGTGGGCAGGCTGGGAGGCACGGGGGTGCCTTTCCACTCAGCCCACCCCCAGGCTGCCCGCTGCTGACCCGCTGGTTGCGCTCGTACTCAGCGATCTTCTCCATCTCCTCGTTCATCTTCTCGATGTTCTGCCTGCGTCGCTCCTCCCACTCCTGGGGAGACAAGATGGCATGTGACTGTCAGAGAGAACGACACACTTAGCTGTGCAGGAAAGACAGGGCAGCCCAAATTCTCCAGGACAGGCAGGTGACAAGGGATGCCTGGCCTGGAGCTTGTCTGGATGCAGGGGACCCTGGCACACCTCAGCCACTACAGAAATGGTGCATGGGAACAGTAACTTGGCAAGCAACTAGTGACCACCACGATCTTTACCCCACCCATCTGCAACACTAACAGAATTGATGAAGAACAGCCAACTGAGAGGCTGGCAGTGGTGGCCCTTAATCCCAGCCCTCGGGAGGTAGAGACAGGAGGATCTCTGTGAGTTCAAGGCCAGGCTGGTCTACAGAGCGAGTTCCAGGATAGGACAGTCTCCAAAACAACACAGAGAAACCCTGTCTCGAAAAACCAAAAAAAAAAAAAAAAAAAAAGAGCAAGAACTTAACTCCCAGGGAGAAAGCCACCTCATGGAACCAGCTTGGACCCAAGTGCATCCAAAGCTGTGAGCCACAGCCCTGCAGCTGCCTGCTGCTAGTGCAGGGGTCACAGTAAGGCCAACCCTCCCCCCCAAATCTGGGCATACAGACACACACGGCGTGAGCACAGGGCACGAGAGGAGCTGGAATGTTCGAACCTGAGACAGACGCAGAGCGCTGGGGGGGGGGGGGAGAAGCCCTCAGGGGGCCCAGCTGGAGGTGAGGGTGAGGAACACAAGGACCAAGGATCAGGGAGGAGCCCGCCCAAGCAAGAATGCAGAAAAGGCAGAGGGAAAGAAACGAACTAGCTGGGCACAGCAGTGCAGGCCTGTTTTCCCAAGCAGGCTGAGCAGGAGGGCGCCAAGTTCACGGCCAGCCTGAGTAACCTAGTGAATGAGCTCCAGTCTGAGTAAAAGCTAAGGGCTGAGGATGCAGTTCAGTGCTAAAGCTTTCATCTAACACACACAAGGCCAGAAAGCTGATGATGGATGAATGAATGAATAATGAATGATGAATGAATGAATGAATGAATACCAGGGGACAGAAAAAACTTGGCTCAAGCTTCATGGCCTACCTTGGATTTGCGGTCAGAGGTTGGGTTGTCTCCTGCCCCTAGGAGATGAGGGGATCCCCGACCCCGGCCTCTCCGGCCCCGACCCCCAGTTCCTCCTCGAAGCTGCTCCCCAGCACAATCCTCCCAGCCTCGGGATGTCCGGCCTCCACCTGCCCTGCCTCCCTGCTGAGGGTGTGTCCGGCCCCCTCTGCTGGTCCCTGGGGGCCGGGGGGTCCCAGGAGTCCTCCGAGAGGGACCCAGGCCCTTCTCCTGAAAAGGGAAAGGGAGAGAAGCCAGTCAACGGAAGGGCAGACTGGAGCATCCCAGGCCCAGATGCATGCAGCTGGCAGCTGTGGGTCCCAGGCCTGAGGCCTCTCCGCCCTCCCCATCCTGAGAATTGAGACATGCTGGACTCTCCACCTCCACGGCCACATTCTCCTTCTCCATGGAGCGGCTCTTCCGAGGGGCTGTCACTGCCACGCCCTCCGATTCAGCTTTTTTCCGGTCCTCCTCGATCTCCTAGGAGCAAGTATCCATGCGGATGGGGTGTTAGGGTCCCTGTGGCCCAGCTTGACTCCCACAGTCCTCTACACTCTCCCTACGCTTCCACTCAGGCTTCTCTCCAGAGCTTCAGACACCGGTCACAGCACCTTCCACTAAAGCCCACATGTGCTGCTGCTCCAAAGCGCCCCGTAAGAGCCAAACGCTTCCCTGACGTGGGGCCTCTCCTGCACCCACTCTGGCCTTCTTGCTATTCCCCAGGCTTCATACCTGTCCTGGGCTCCCACCCCAGGGTTTCAGTACCAGCCACTCCTCTGCCAGAGTGAGTCCCGTGACCCTGTAACTCCTCAGGTTCCAAATGTCTCACCATCTCCCTGCCACTCTTTCTTTTCTGGTCTCATCCCCTGCTTGGTAAAACATGAGGATACCTGTCAGGAGGTTTACTGATGCACACCCCCACCCCAGCCTACAGTGCTGCCTGGCATACAATCAAACCCAGCTTTATTTACTTATTTATTTTTAATGAATGAATGCACGAACAATGAGTCAATGAGGCCGCCCTCCTCCCAGGTCCCTTCATAAAGACAGCCCAGCCCCACAACCTCCTCTTGGGCCCTGCTCTGGACAATTCCTCCCCCTCCCACAACAGCCCCAATGCCCTTGGTCACTAAGACTCTGTCAACAACCTGGTCCTGAACCAGGCCTGTCCCCTCCAACTAGAGCAGCGACCCCAGTTGTCTTCTTACTGTCTGGGCTTCCTCTCATCCACGCCAAACAGAAAAAATGAGTGTCCCTGCAAAGAGCTATTCTGGCCAGGTTTCACTACTATTCAAAGCCCTCCATGGCCTCACTAGGTCCTAATCTACACGGCTGGCCCCTGATGACCTCTCTAGATCAGTTCTCTACCAACTGACTTTCCAAGTCCTCTCTGCATCCAAACATTTGTCCATCTTGTGTGAAACATAACCCATCTCCTTCCCAATTAGCTAATATCTAGGCACAGTTTAGTTCTCAGAATCCCCTCTACCAGAAAGCCCTCCTTAATATCCTCAGGCTAGAGGGAGAACTCTAGACTCCCACAGACCTATTAATTCCCAGCCTGTCTAGTCTGTGCCATCATGGAGGACAACTATGTCCCAAACTGGACAGTGAATCCTAAGAGAAGTCTAGGGAATATATCCCTAACACCACACAACACAGAGCTAGGACTCTGGAGACTTCATGGAGCAGATTATGAATAAATGAATGGATGGATGATGGGATGAAGGGAGGCCAGACTAAGGCCTCCGGCTTTTGTCCTGTGAATGAAGAGGAAACATGAGAAAGCTTGAAGGGAGAGGTGGGAAAAACTCACTGCGGGGAGAGGGGATGGGGTCTCCCAGGGCAGGGCTAGGGCACCTGGTAGCGCCGTATGAGGGCCTCATTCTTCCGACGAAGAGCCTCGATCCTCTTGTCCAACTCAGCATCCTTCTCCTCCTTTGATTTCAAATCTAGTGTGGTAGCCTGTGGTGGGGAGGCAGTCGAGGGGTTGGGGAGAATGATCTTCCCATGAAGGGCATTTCCCCCAGGATCTGAGTGCTGGGTGTCAGGACCCCACCTCCCCAGCCCACTTCTCCACTGTGCAGCTTACCATCTCATCAGCTGCGGTCTCCCTCACAGACGCTAAATGTAGCACCGGGGGAACCTGGGAGCAGAGAGAGCAGCAGAGTAGGTTAAGACCAACGGCATTCTGAAATGCTGGCTCCTCTCCTCTACTGCAAACACACTTCTGCTGCCAGCACACGCCTTTAATCCCAGCACTCGGGAGGCAGAGGCAGGCGGATCTCTGTGAGTTCGAGACCAGCCTGGTCTACCAAGCAAGTTCCAGGACAGGTTCCAAAACAACACAGAGAAACCCTGTCTTGAAGGAAAAAAAAAAAAAAAAAACACTTCTGCTTTCTGCTTCATCAAGGGAATTCTCAAGTACTAGTCTCGCCTCTTTCCTGAAGAAATAAAAACCCTGCCCTTCAGTCTTAGATCCACCCATGCAATTAGTCAGATGCGCCCTGGGAAAATTCCCACCCCACCTCAGTACCTAATACTAATTCCTCCAAACAAAGATGTCAGCCCAGATTCCACAACCTATAATTTTAGTCAGGACCGGGATCTCAGAAGATCAGCTACAACCAGTAAAAGTAACTTCTAGAGAGCCAAGGGGGTGGCTCCGGGGATACAGGTACTTGCCGCCAAGCCTGAGAACCTGAGGTCAATTCTCAGGACCCACAAAGTGGAAGGAGAGAACTGACTTACTGACTTGCAATCCCAGCACTCGGGAGGCAGAGGCAGGTGGATCTCTGTGAGTTCGAGGCCAGTCTGGTCTACAAGGGCTAATTCCAGGACAGCCTCCAAAACCATAGAGAAACCCTGTCTCGAAAAACACACAAACAAAAAAGTGGCGCGCTAGAGAAAGACAGCATGGGAAAGAGCTCACATGACGGGGGTTTTCTAATTAGGAGAAAGGGAATGGGAAAAGGGGGAAGGGGAGGGGGGATACAGGCCTCCGGAGACAGGAGCAGCAGAAAAGAGGCGGGGGACAGATCAGAGAGAGAGAGAGAGAGAGAGAGAGAGAGGGAGGGAGGGAGGGAGGGAGGGAGGGAGGGAGGGAGGGAGGGAGGGAGGGAGGGAGGAGGTGAGCACGGCCCTTTTAAAAGAGAATATAGTAAATGTGCACAGGAGATGCTCTTAGTGGCTGCAGCTGAGGGTACATCCTGTCAGAACCTCAAGGACAGGTCAGTACAGATGCCTGAATATGAACACTGACTTCAACCAGCTGACCTCTGACCTCCGTGTGCTCACACAGACGTGCACACAATAAATAAAACATAATGAAAAGCAGTTCCAACACTCCGAGAAGTTTAACCCATGGCTCCCCTAACGCTAGGTCAGCCCGGACCCCAGCATCCTGAAAAGGCACTCATCATCTCCTACCAAGCCTGAAAAGATTCTGCAAGCAGGCCCAGGATCCACTTCAGCGGGTTTCCTGGACCGGACTTGACTTCCATAGTGATACTCAGTGCCGAAGACAGAACTTCTACAGAGGCGTATAAGAGAAAACTGACAGCCACACACAGCCGCGCCCCTGGCCTCCACAAACTTCCCTGGTCCCACCCCTGACCTGGATGAAACTGCAGGACCCGCCCATAAAAAAAATCACATAATACGGCTCCGCCTCCAATTTAACCCTATAGCCTCGCTCCCAACGTGCGGGTCACCATTCTGGCCCCGCCTCTGAGTCACGCCCCCTCCTCCAGCTTCCGAGGCGTTCATGTCGAAGGAAAAACTTTTGGCTCCACTCCCACCATTATCCTCCCCAGCTTCCTAACCCCACCCGAAAACTGCCTGACATTTTGGCCCCGCTTCCAGACAGCTCCTGGACCCGTCCCTAGCTCCTGGGCAATGATCAGGACCCATTTCCAAAACCAAGAAACTTTCCCGGCTTGCCCAAGGTGTCTCCGCCCTGGCCCCACCCCCTAAATTAACCACGCCCCAACAAGACTATCAAGTTGCCCCCAAACCACGCCCCCTACGGAGAGCGACGCTCTGGCCCCGCCCCCAGCACCTTGGCACAACCCGGCACAAAGCCCCAGTCCCGGCGCGGCCTCTTCACCTCTTCACCCAGCCAACGCCCAGACCCTGCCCCTTTCCCACACCTCTCCAAACTTTGGCTCCGCCAAAAGCAGTTCCACCCGGTCTCGGCTCCGCGCCTGGCTCTCACAGACACGCCCCCGGGGCTCTCCTCACTGACTACAGACCCTGACCCTCAAGGCCCCTGGAAATACCCCGGCTCTCCGCCCCCAGGAGCTCCACCCACCTCCTTTATCCCGCCCCCACTCCGCTTTGGCCCTGCCCCCGCTCTCCCGCCCACCGCCCCAACCCCACCCCCTTCGGCCCCGCCCCGGCAACACTCCAGCCCCGGCCCCCGGCTCCTCCTGCCAACGCCCAGACCCCGCCCTTTATCCCCGCCCCACGACACTTGGTCCCGCCCCCAGCACCCCCTCCCAACGTCCCGGGGCTGCTCGACCCGCCCAGTCCTCCCGCCAAGACTCTGGCCCCGCCCCAGCCCGGACTCAACTCTGAAGCCCCGCCCCGCCCGGGCAGCCCCCAGGGCTCAGGACCCGCCCACACGCGCGCACGCACGCCCGTCCGGCCCCGCCCACAGGCTCACGGTCCGCCCCGCGGCGCCCCTCCGGCGACCCACGTGGGCGTCCTGTCCCCGCCCCCCACGGAGGAGCCTGACCCCGCCCCCGCCGGCGGCTCGCCTCCCCGTCTGCGCGCGCGCGCTCTCGCGCCCCCCCCCACGTGGGCGGACAGGCCCCGCCCTCCCCGGGCGCGCTCCCGGCCCCCTCCCCCCCGGTCACCTGTCCCGGAGACCCCGCGGCGTCTGCGACTCGGACTCCGTCCGCCTCCGCGTCCGCAGCTCCCGGGCCTCACACGTCACTTCTGGTCCGCTCCACGTGAAAAGAGGAAATAAAGAGGGCCACGTCCGGTCCTGACAGCCCATTTCCGGTTGCCTTAAAGGGACCGCACCCCCCACCCCACCCCCCCAGGCTTTGCAGGGTTGTGGTGGCCGAGGCACGTTTGTTTCCTCCGTGTCCTTCCAGCAAACGGACGAGTGTCCCCCAATCTCTGTACTCCTCCTTTTTTTTTGCTCAGACTTCTTTAGCCACTGGTTCTCTATTTTAGTAATTAAGAGCCAGATATCATGATCATACAGTGACCCTTGGAAACGTAACTGGTTCCAGCACCTCACCTTGCCAATGAAACCTTAGTTTTAGAAACTGTAACTGATTCATAAAAAAGACACTTGAAATTTTTAGGAAGCAGCAGTGTAACCAAAGCTGGGCGGTGTGGTGGCACATGGCCCTAATTTGAGCACTTGGGAGGCTGAAGCAGGATTGCCTCAAGGTTAAGAACAGCAAGAGATTTATATCTATATCGATATCAATATCGATATATACAGTTCCAGGCCAGTCAGGACTAAGTAGCTCCTGGCTTAAAAAAAAAAAGTACTTGAGGCCAATCCTGATGACCTCAGTTTGACCCCTTCTATTAAGCAACTTGCTGGCATTTGAATTTTATTAACACTTTCTTTTTTAAAGGTCTCTGTTGAGCAGGCGGTGGTGGCGCACACCTTTAACCCCAGCCCTCGGGAGGCAGAGGCAGACGGATCTATGTGAGTTCGAGGCCAGCCTGGTCTACAAAGCAAGTGCCAGGATAGGCTACAAAGCTATACAGAGAAACCCTGTAAACAAATAAACAAAAATCTCTGTTGAGATTGTCCCTAAACTCCTGATTCTCCTGCCCCAGCCTCTTCAGTACTGAGGTAGGATTACAGACCTTCAATGGCTATGATCACCAAATTGACCATCTCAAACTGCTGTGAGGTAGCCCATCAGATAGATGGCCACAATTTGTCCTACCTGGTCTTTTTTGTTTTTGTTTTTCAAAAGTTTTCTCTGAGTAGCTTTGGAGCCTGTGCTGGAATTTGCTCTGTATGTATGTGTGTATGTATAATTTTATGTGTATGGAGTTGTTTGCCTGTGCACCACATGAGTGCCTGAAACCCTCAGAGACCAAAGGGCAGATGGTCCCCAAGAACTGGAATCCCATGTAGTTGTGAATCACTGTGTAGGTGCTCAGAGCTGAACCCGGTTTCTCTGCAAAAGTATCAAGCACTCTTAACCACTAAGCCAATATGCAACTTTTTTTGGGGGGGTCTATACAGGGTTTCTCTATATTGTTTTGGAGGCTGTCCTAGAATTTGCTTTGTAGACCAGGCTGGCCTCGAATTCACAGAGATCCCCCTGTCTCTGCCTCCCGAGTGCTGGGGTTAAAGGCGTGTGCCACCAATGCCCAGCCCAATATGCAGCTTTTTAAAAAAGATATATTTATTATGTATACAGCATTCTGCCTGCATGTAACCCTACAGGCCAGAAGAGGGCACCAGATCTCTTTATAGATGGTTGTGAGCCACCATGTGGTTGCTGGGAATACTCAGGAGGTCTGGAAGAGCAGCCAGTGCTCTTAACCGATAATCTATCTCTCCAGTCCCAATACGCAACTTTTTTTTTCATTTGTTGGTTTAGTTTTTTTGAGACAGGCTCTTCCTGTGTTTCTAAGCTGCCCTCGGACTCCAGGCGATTCCCCTGTCTCTGTCTCCTGAGTGCTGGGATTTACAGATGTGAGCTATTCATTGTTTGAATTTTGGGATAGGAAGGAAGCATGCATGCCATGACACATATGTGGAAATCAGAGAACGACCTGCAGAAATTGGTTCTCCCGACAACATGGGGTCGAAGGATTAAATTCAGACATAGAGGCTGGGCAGTAGGCTCCTGTAGACACCAAATCATTCCACTTGCCTGTTTGCTTTTTTGTTTTTGTTTTGTGGGGGTGGGATGCAGGGATAAACTATTTTAATTATTTTTGAGATCTATTCTCACAGTGTAACACTGACTCGTCTGGAACTCGCTATCTTAAGCCAAGCTGTCCTCAAACCCATAGAGATCCAACTGCCTCTGCCTGCTGAGTTCTGGGATTATTGGTAGTGGTCACCATGCCCAGCCTAAGGATTTGTTTTGTTTTAGTTGACACATAATTGTGCACAGTTGTGGCATATGATAATATTTTGATTCTAATAAACAATGTGCAATGATCAGATCACGGTAATTGACATATCCTTTTTTTAGAAACAGGGCTTCACTGTGTAACCTTGGCTGTCCTGGAACTCTCTTTGTAGACCAGGCTGGCCTTGAACTCAGAGATCTGCCTGCCTCTGCCTCCCGAGTGCTGGGATTAAAGGTGTGCGCCGCCGCGGCCGCCGCCGCCGCCGCCGACACCACCACCACCACCACCACTACCACCACCACCACCACCACCACTACCACCACCCCCTCTAGGATTATTCACATTTTTCTCTATTAACTACCTGAACTATGCAATGTTTTTATTAGACACACATGTTTTACCGTAAATAATCTGTAAGCCTGCTCCAAAGAACACACAGGCAGGGAATAGTGGTAAACACCTATGATCCCAACACATAGGAAGCAGAAGCAGGCATTTCTCTGTGAGTTCAAAACTAGCCTCATCTACATACGGACTTCCAGGCCTGCCAGGGATACATAGTGAGACCCTAGCTCAAAAAAAAAAAAAAAGAAAAAGAAATAGATAAACAAATGACAGTCGGGCATTGGTGTCACACTCCTTTACTCCCAGCACTTGGGAGGCAGAAGCAGGGGAATCTCTGTGAGTTGGAGGCCAGCCTGGTCTACAGAGTAAGTTCCAGGACAGGCTCCAAAACAATACAGAGAAACCCTGTCTCAAAAAAAGGAAAAAAGAAAGAAAGAAAGAAAGAAAAGAAAAGCAAACTACAAATTCTCAATGGGCGAACATCATTATTATTATTCCCAAGCACACAGATTTCTATATCATTTACTTGACATTAAGATGACCCAAGGCAAGCCGGGCATTGGTGGCGCATGCCTTTAATCCCAGCACTCGGGAGGCAGAGGCAGGAGGATCTCTGTGAGTTCGAGGCCAGCCTGGTCTACAGAGCGAGTGCCAGGACAGCCTCCAAAACTACACAGAGAAACCCTGTCTCGAAAAAAACCAAAAATCAAACAAAAAAAAAAAAAAAGGGAAAGGAAAAAGTTATATATAAAAAAGTCACAAAGTGCCGGGCGTTGGTGGCACATGCCTTTAATCCCAGCACTCGGGAGGCAGAGGCAGGCGGATCACTGTGAGTTCGAGACCAGCCTGGTCTACTGAGCGAGTTCCAGGACAGCCTCCAAAGCCACAGAGAAACCCTGTCTCGAAAAAAAACAAACAAAAAAAAAAAAGTCACAAAGTGGGTCTGGAAAGATGGCATTGTGGTTAAGATCACTGGCTGCTCTTCCAGAGAACAGGAGTTCAATTCCCAGCAGCCACATAGTGACTCACAATATAATGGAATCGAATGTCCTCTTCTGTAATGCAGGCACATATGCAAATAGAACATTCACATGAATAAATAAATCTTTAAAAAAGAAAAGAAACAAAAATGCCAGGCAGTGGTGACCCACACCTTTAGTCCCAGCACTCCTGAAGCAGAGGCAGGCAGATCTCTGAGTTCAAGGCCAGCCTGGTCTACAAAGAGAGCTCCAGGACAGCCAGGACTGTTACGCAGAGAAATCCTATCTCAAAAAAACAAAAACAACTCTTCGAGGAACAGATAGGAGATGGGCAGGGAGGAGGAGCAAGGGAGTGGGGGGAGGGGGAAGAGAAGAGGGAGGGGGAACTGGGATTGGAATGTACAAATTAAATTAATAAAAACATTTTAAAACAAAACAGTGACAAAGTAGTACTGGGATCTCAGACACTGGTGGAGGCAGGCTGAGGCAGCCTGGGCTACATTCTGA